CTATGCATGACACATGTAAAAACATGAACAGTAACACACGGTTTAAAAAAACGATTAAGTAACGGCAATTGAGGGGAAAAAACAAGACACCCCCCCCCCCCAAAAAAAAAAAATAAATAAATAAATAAAAAAAAAGGGATGAACATTTGAAATATTTTATTGATTAAATTGTCTGTTTTAACATTCTATTCCATACTGATAATGTTGCATATAAATAGAGAGGCCAGCTTACTATATGGAAATTAAGTTGGATTTATGAAATTCGGCTGGTACATGAGTTTCTGATAAGTTTGATCAAGTCAAGAATATCACTTTGTTTCTAAAATTGCTATTTTAAAACTAATTTAAAAAAAGAATCTGGCTATACTTATTGCTATGAATGCTTTCAAATCAGATAACAAAACTCCTCACTTCTTCCTAAGGTACATAAATGTAATATGCGATATTATTCTTAAATCTAATCTCACCCATTCATTCAGCTTTACTTTTTCAGTGGCTTTCTGAGTTTGTGTTTTGGTACAGAAGACCTTTAATTAAGAGTGCATTTATCAGCTGAAAGATCGTATAATAGATAAAAAAGTAAAAAGTAAATTTCAATACAAAACATTGCATGGTTGAAGAATTAGCCTACATTAAACTGCTTCTGGGATTTGTCATATCGTGATATCAAATTCAAAAACCACAATCTTCAGGCATTATGGGAAAGTAATTGAACAAAACATTGGCTTTTTTGTCATCTATGTAAAATCGAAATACTAGCATAAAAGTTGGAAGCAAATTGTCAAAAGTATATTGTCAGATTTGTAGCGTTCACGATTGATGTTCGAGAAATAGATAGTCCATTAAACATCCGAAAAAATTCTGATCAAAGGGAGGTAACTTGCACTACACGATAGTTCTCCTGTCACAAAGATGGATATAGACTCGGACGTTTCCTTTAGCTAAACATTAATCTCCCCGATGGTTCCTTGCTTAAGTTTCATACATCTTTGAATAATAACCAACGTTCTTTTTTATATTTGAAATGGAAGGCACAAGCAGGAATATAAAAAAGTGATTGTATGCAGTTGTACATGCTTGAAACATTACAATACTATATAATTTGCCAGAATAGGAGTGTTACATTAAACAAAAAAACTGAAGCAAGTTTATAAAAAAAAATATATGTTACGTGACTTTTGTTCTGCAAACCCTAATTTTGTAATAACAATTCGGCATAATAATTAGTTGAAAGTAAATATATATGACTCATGGCGTTCGGGGAAAAAGACATTGCATTTTTGCCGGTAAAATAAAGGAATTTATCAATTTGTTCAAAATTGATGTCACCATTGTCGTCTTCTTGACAAGCGTCAAAATATGTGCTGATATTTTCTGGACACCACACCGTTATATGTTTAGATTTATTTATTTATTAAATTATTTATTTATTTATTTATTTATTTATTCAGTTTCCTTGAAAATGTAATCAAAAGAAAACGTATTGGTTTCAATATCCTCTAAGTGTTCTATTTTATCACAGAATGCTAATGTTTATTTTTAATGTTGTAATCGTATATGGTGTTAACAGAGATATTTTCTTGGGGATGCAGTGTACTGTGTTAGAGATTGACGAGTTACCGTGTTACATCGGATATGGGACTCGTGTTACTTAACGAGTTTTCATATCCGGTCACGCAGCATCAACACGTCCATAATAACATGTCAACAGTTCAGACAAATGGTTTCCCATTCCCGTTATTAGAACTACATCCTGTTATAAAGTAACTAACCTGTCAATACAGAAACTCCGAGCGCCACGTTTGTAGACATCGATCATTTACTCATTCGGCTGCGTTGACTGATGCTGGTACCTTCCGTATACTGTTCATGTCTTTACGGAATCAGCTGAGGCTTGACGAATGTATTATCGACTTATAACCTTAACAATATTGGAAAATGAATTCAAATTTGCAGTCTCCTCCATCCCATGAAATACTTCTGTGAGCAATATCACGTGTGAGTGATGTAATGACACAATATCACGTGTGAGTGATGCAATGTCACAATGTCACATGTGAGTGATGCAATGTCACAATGTCACATGTGAGTGATGCTATAACACAATATCACACGTGTGAGTGATGTACTAACACAATATCACGTGTGAGTGATGCAATAACACAATATCACATGTGAGTGATGCAGTAACACAATATCACATGTGAGTGATACAGTAACACAATATAACGTGTGAGTGATGCAGTAACACAATATCACACGTGAGTGATGCAGTAAAACAATATCACATGTGAGTGATGTAGTAACACAATATCACACATGAGTGATGCAGTAACACAATATCACAAGTGAGTGGTGTAGTAACACAATATCACACGTGAGTGATGCAGTAACACAATATCACACTTGAGTGATGCAGTAACACAATATCACACGTGAGTGATGCAGTAACACAATATCACATGTGAGCGATACGATGCTTTAGTAGTCCGATCATATGTCCACCGGGATGATCTCCCTTGAGACGGCAAAATTCTTTATCACTGACTGTTGATCATTCACAGATACACAGCTATCATATATGTGTCGTTAGACTGGGATAATATCTTAAAAACATTTATTAATATATATCTTGTAGATATGATTTGAATATTTTATCACATTAAGGTCTGGGATCTTTTAAGATATAATATTTGAGATATGTTCAAAATCATATGATATTAGATACAAAAGGATCGCGCATTCACAGATAAGATGTAACTTTGAGCAGGCTTCATAATACTAATAGAAATTTCAATTTCAGACTTTTTTAAAACTTCAGATATGTTTGATAAATCAAGGTTACTGTATGGTGTTCTTGGAGCTGTTAGAGATCCGTAGATTTGAGGAAGCACTTTACAACGCTCCTCTCAAATAAGTGTTTGTATGTTTCCCTTTCAAGACAATGAAAAGAAAAGAATTACACAGACGTTGAAAGTATCTATCGAATTGGTCACAATATTGAACTCATGCGAAGTCTTATTGATATAAGGCTGCATGTGAAGATTCAACAAAAAATGTTTAATGTTCATGGTAATAAAACTGCAAAGAGCCATAACTCTGCTAATTATGATCCAGTAGGTATTGTAGAAGTCATCCGAGATTTTATTGATATATGACTAAATTCTACGTTTCATCACAATCTGTTTATATTTTCTCAACCCCTTTATCTTCACAAGTTCCAACGGTAGTTACATTTTAAATGCCCGTAACTCTGTAAATTACTATCGCATCAGACCTATTTCCGAACTTATCCAAGATCTTATTTATATAAGGCTGCATGCCGAATTTTACTTAAATCTATTCACATTTACTTGAAGTTTTATGATCACAAGTTCCATGGTAACAAAACTGCAAGGCACCATAACTAAGACACAATCGAACCAATTCTCTTTGGAATCCTTTTTATATATAACTGCGTACCAAGTTTCATCAAAATCTCTTCATTTTTAATTAAATTATCATATTCACAAGAAAACGATTAGGTGACCTAAAATACCGATACATCAGTAGATAGATTAGGGTATTTCTAATATCATTGTACAGAACTGACAACTGCTCAAGGTGTGTAGCAAGGGACTAAACTCGTGAAAGATAAAGTTTTTAAAGTTAATGTATTGCAATTTTAATACATGCAACTGCTCAAAGTGAAAATGAATTATCAAACACACTTTCCCATTAACGCTAAAGTAAATATCCCGAGTGCGTACTAGTATTTATATATGAAAGGTTTTGAAGGATGTAAATATTCGTAAACACGATCGCATGCTAGTACGTAAATCGATAGGTAGATACCAATTCGTATACCATGTTTAAATTTGCTATTTATCCATCTTTCTAATTTTTTCCGTCATTCTTTCATGCTTTTCACGTCTTATTGAGTTAAAGATTAACATTGAATGAGATTTACATAACACGACGTACATCAGATAATCAACCCTTGTCACGAATGATCTTTCTCGGCTGCTATAACAAAAACCCGACCGGAAATTTTGCGTGAATGTCTATTTACTCGACATGCCTAAGATGTTGATATATATTGAGATAACGTGCCAAAAAGGCAAACGACTTTGTTTGCAACTTACATACTATCATTGAGGCACGATTGATGCTTGTGATTAATGACAATAATTTATATACGACGAATCTATTATAGAATGACATCAATCGGATTAAAATCGAATGCGAGGGTAATTCCGAATTGCATGTTTTCATCATTGTAATCAGGAATAAGTTTGATACACACAACAACATGGATATGACACTGTAAGCAATTATGTATTGAAATAGGGAACACAAACATCTCATAACCTTTCTGTTGTCATAGAAACCGCCAAAGGATGGTTACTGGTCTGCATTACCACAAAAACAAGAACTGAAAATAAAACACATTAATATGGCAATCGCTATAACACTCCAAACTAAGCTGAAGTGAATTTACAGTGAACATGTAGAAACAAGCTATAGGGAGTTTATTATCTAATTCCATAAAACAAAAAATGCTATTTGTGATTTTAATATTTACAGTGAGCATATTCAAATGCATATCTAACATCAAGTGCTCAGTTGGGGTACCTAAGACATGGGCGGTCCTTAAATTAAAACATCCAATCAGATAATACGTGTCGATTTCAGTACGATATAGACAAATTTATGTACTGGCATACGTATGTCTCGTCTTCTTTCACCAGGATTTCGTTTAGTTTTGCTAATTTTACAAAAGGAGAAATTCACGAAATAGTAATGAAGGGGGACGTTTTAGATGTTTTACATTTTATATATATGTAAACAAAGTAGTTACTTACGCTGATTAGCAAACCTTACCTTGATTTGGAGGCAGTCGGTGTTTTTTTTTTTTTTTTTATTTACGTTCTTCCGAGCGAAATCTTGTCAATACTTTGAGGTTGGAATATTAAACATTTACGTTTTACGTTTTACGAGTGTCGACCAAAGCCTTTACAATGTTCATCCAGAGATTGCTGTTGTTTCTAGTCACATCCAAGGCTTTTATAATTGAAGAATACTTTATGCGAAGAAATGACTGTGAAGATGTGGTTCTTAATTCTAATTTAGTCTTCGTTGAGAAGACAGTTCAAAGTCTTATTGGGTGTGTTGCCGTGTGTTTAGTACAGCCCGACTGCGAATCTTTAAATTTCCTCCCTTCAGGCAGTTGTATGCTCAGCAACACAACACTTGACGAAGCGTGCCGTAACGGACAATTCTACGAACATGGTATTTACATGCATCGTCATCCCGATAAAGTAAGTAATGTTTAAAGTTTTCATATTTGAATATCTCGACTCCTTGCTAATTTTATATAAGAAACGATATGCTCATAAAAGGTACAAATGCAATATGTTCAATAATTCTTTTTTAACAGCGGTATTTAAGGCATATTGTAACAATCCAAACTGAAACATTTGTCTTTTTGATAACTGATAATGTTTACGCGAAAAAGGATATTCCAGATGGCCCACTAGGAAATAGCCTAGTATTCTGGATAAAAATGTATAAATCGTTTCCGATACATAAAACATTGTCAAAAGATTGATACAACTTCAACAACTCACATTAGGACAGCAGTGTAGAATCTATAGAGAAAAAAATTTTGTCACATCAATTCACAAAAATACAAATAGATTATCAAGCCTGTCTCGTTGTGCATATTTTTAAAATGGAACATATTTTCGTGGTATATTTTTTACCTAAAATATTTAGTTCTTTTTGGAAGTCACAAAATATTTGCTGTTTTGAATATATGCACGTTTAAATACTGTAACAAGGGTACCAAAGCATCGATTTAAAATTCACCTTCCCAAACGGACATCTGCATTAACTTTGCAGCGAGAGTTCTTTCATTAGTTATCGATTTTTATTTCTTTGTCTTAATAATGTACTTCCGGATCATATCGGTTTACCTATAAAAGTTTGTCATAGTTCGTCCATGTTGCTATAGTAACAGTTATATAGAGTAATACTCCTAATGATTTACACAACTGTTTTGTTTACCAGAACATTACAATCTGTTTGAATGACGGAATACTACAATCAACTAACACGTGCTTATGCCACGGAGGATACATCGGAGACTACTGTGAACGTATCATGGAGGGTAAGTTCAATTTGTACTAAGGAATACATAGTTATGACAATGAGGTTATCAAACTTTCCCACCCTCGATGAGGGACCTACTTTGACTGAACATTTTAAATGTTTAATGTTATGTCATTTTTACGTGAGGGAAAAGTCAAATAAACCTCCCACAAGACACAAATTTCGATTTTGGTAAAATAACTTATGTTTTAATGATTTACAAAGTTATACTGTTGTAAAGGATAGAAATGAGTTTTCGTGAAACGGGTCTTCAATCTTTTTCCGAGCTTTGAGTTTCCTGAATTTTGATATGAGATGAAAACAACTTTAAGACTCCTTCCAATACATACCTCAGAAAAGTGATACTTTTACAAGTTTTAATGGAAAAAAATTAAACGGATTCAGCAATTTTTTGTTTCGCCAATTTCAATTTATGACGTCACGTAATTGTCCCTAATACGGCTTCATATTTTCTGACTGGAACGGACAATGAAAAACACGCATAAGTAAATAAGTGTTAGTTATGCGGTATCTTAACTGTAATAATATCCTTATTTTTCATCTTATGATGTTAACTTAGTGTAAAAAATACTTAATTATCATAAACATTGCTTTATAAACCTTGCCTGCTGTTGGTACAAAAAAAGTCTTAACCTCGCAACCTGTCTCCTTTATATAAGTGTTACTTGCATTTTATTTGAACTAAAATCTTTGAGTAATAGATTAATTCGTGATGATCGAAACGTTAAACATTTGAATGACATTGCCGATATGAATAGCTTTCTTAAAGATTATGTTTTTTCTTTTCTTTTTCTTTATCCCGAGCAATAAGATTTTTTATTTTATTTCGCAGATTGTACGGAGGGGGAACCGTATTATCAGGGACAATTCGGTACGTTTTTAATCCACCCTAGACTATCCCCGAATCCTTTCAAAGTTGTATGTCGAATGGCATTTGACAAAAGGACATACATACAGATTCGGCATTACGGTGGAAACGAAACATTATTTACTCAAAATTGGAATGCATACAAGAATGGTTTCGGTGATGTGTCGGAGACTAATCGTTTGGAGAGAAATTTCTGGCTGGGTAACGAGAAAATTTACTATTTAACAAACAGCAAAGAATACTCTCTAATTATACAGTTAGTAGAAGATCGCTATATCTCATTTGGTCAATATAGACTTGACGATTTTCTGGTGAAGAACGAAGCCAACCTATACGCTATGTCATACGAAAACGCGTACCCTTATCGAACACAGCAAATGGTATTTGGAGACAGTATGGCTTCTAGCAAGGGAGCAAAGTTCAGCACATTCGACAAGGATAATGATATGTCTGAAGGTAACTGCGCAGAGCTACATGGCGCAGGGTGGTGGTTTTCTGACTGTGCGCGATGCAATCCGAATGGTCGTTTATGGCCGGGTGGTACTAACAAAAGGCTTAACGTCAGTGACGAGTTTTTCTGGGAAGACGATCTGTCCGGTTCGTCTGCATGGGGAACAAGTCTTTGGCTCGTTAGATGAAAGGATATAATCTGTTAGCCTTTTAGGGGGACATGGAGAGCTCAACCCGAGGGATAAGGTTAACAAGGAGTGAATGATTATTTTTCTCTAACACTTTTGTCCCAGTGCAAGACGGACGAACGTATTGAGTGTGCACAAAAATATGTGGATGTGTCGTATGAACAGTGACGAGGCATGCCTCGGACTCTTCACAAAATTAAATACCATTGTCCATGCCAATAAAACGTCAAAGAAAGTTATACTCTTGATATTATACATTTCAATGATAAGTTGGGGATGATTTCGATGACAGCACAATATTTTCAGTTTTGAGAATAACACAAGATGTCTATAGCAGACGAACTCATGTAGGTGTGTGACCTCATAAAAGTCGTTCAACTTCCGGGTCACGTTAGTGACTTCATTTAAGATATTTCCCGAATTTGCAAAGAGCACTGAAGAAATTCCTTCGTCGCCTCTTTTTTTTCCAAACTTTTAGGTCCTTAGCATCACTGATGATTCCTTGGAAGGACGTAACTTGTAATGTTTTCTACACGTTGCATGAATAATTAATGGTTTTAAATCACGTTTGATATTCTAGTCTCTCTTGAAATATTAATTTTGTAGGACCATTGAAATAATTATACCTTTTTCACGACAAATTTTACAACACGAACATACATTATATCTTGTTATCTAATCTCCAGAAAAGCCACAGAAAAAGTCTTGGAATGTAATGTGTCAAACAGGACAGTAAATAATGGTCACCTCCTTATGTCAACAACCTGGGCCGTGTATCCTGTTTTCAGTACTCTTTTAACGTCTACCCCTACCAAAGCCATAAAACCAATCATTTGTACACTTTCTTTCATTTTTTAACCGACGTGATAGAAATATAACAGTGTAATTCAATGTTTTATCTTGAAGTAAATAATATATGTATACATGTTCACGCCATGGTATAATTGAACAGACCTCCGCAAACATTCTAGCATAAAAAAAAAACAAAAATACATGCAGACATCAATGTTTAAAATTTGAATTAATGGAAACAGTTGACCATGAAGCCACAGATGTGACTGTAAGTATGCAGCGAAATGTCCGACCAAGTGTGTTCAGCAATGTCATCCGTTTCAACAACACGCTTTTGTCCTAGTGGCGAGTAAACAAAGCAATTTTTAACTCTTCGTGTATAAACACTTCAGCAATGTTTAGCATGTAGCTTATATATTTTTGATAAAAAATACATTTTTTTGTAAAGAAATAAACTTAAACCGGATGTACAAAACGCCGAAACTCAATCAGCCTGATCGGTGTTGAATATTAAATGGTTTGGAAAATAAGTAAACTACGTTAGCTGATATCAAATCGTTCAAACCTAACAACGAAACGATTGACCTTCAGTATTTTTTTTATCAGTCTGTGGTCCTTTACCCGTCTCAGGTGAATATCACACCAAATGCGAAAAGAATGGGACAGGAATAAGGGAATTTTATATATAGAAATGAAAAGAAATAGATAAACCCAAATTGTCACGCTTATCAAACCGTCTGGTGGTGACCTATCCGTGCTATTTCTGATATAAGTGAAGATTAAAGTAACCGAATCTCACTGAGAAGCCTGTCATGGCTTTTATTTGGTCAAACAAGTTTGTTTTCTAATTCACCAAGGAAAAGTCCTCGACATACCTGTATGTGAAATCTAATTACCAAGCAAGGCCTTTGTTAGTCATCTATCTTAATCTCTTCGACAAATCCAGCTTAACGTGTCAACTAACAGATAGGAAGCCTTTAAAGAAATCGCCTATTTCCCACCTTACTCAACGTTTACATGGCCTGTCAAAAGTTGGTGTATCGGTACTTAACACTGTGAATTGCAATGATATAGCTTTGCCACATATATACAAGGTGCCATACAGAATGGGATTCATCCGTTTGGTATAGATATAATGTTAAAGATATTTACAACAGGGAAGATACATTCGATATATAAAATATTCTATGCACATTATGTAAACGCTCAGCGCATTTGGAGATATACATCCTATCAAATGAAATTTTTGAACGAAAGCATCTTCAAAAAGTGTGCATGAGTCTGGTACCTTAATTGCACATATGACACACAAGTGAATAGTGATATCAATATAAATTTAGAATTAGTTTTTGAATAGCCAAGTAATGAATTAATGTGCAATATGCTTCAGTAGTACCTACAGGTGACTGACGAAAATGGAGAGACCGAAATGAATGTCAAAATATTGAGGAGGTGTAGTAACCTCAGAACTCATTCCATACTATGATTTCCAATACTGGATTGCTTCAAAATAATGATAACTGTATGGATAATGTCTGAATCATGCCAATACGGATTACAGCAAACCTTGGTCAATAAAGTCCACTAGCAGAGTGAAGTCTCTCCAAAACGTCGAGTAAAATGATGCTTGTATAAGGTATTTGGATCCTAAAAGCAGAAACTGAACTAATGTTTTATTACGTGCGATTCGTACCAATCACCATGATGATTATTAAGATTATTAAGATATTTTACAACACACATGTATGTTTAACATATCTGAAGTCGTTCACTTTATCAAGTGGCTTTCCGGATTACTACTGTATCTGTATCTTACGAACAAGAGATTAGAGTTACCTTGGAGACAGAGGAATGTCCCCGTGCTGTCTGAGGCGGTTATAATATGTCATGCTACTATATATCAAAACAGTGGAGACGAGATATACGTGTTTCGGTACCCCTCGGCATTTTTTGTTGACAAAAAGGCACCTTTATATAATGGATTGATATTTGGCAGCTAAATATATTCCTGTGACGGCAAGGTGCTTATAATACGAATATCACATTCAAACCGCCATTCGATCTTTCAAACACGTCAAGTTGCCTTTAAAACAGCTGAAGTTATAAGAGGAAAAACCACGGGAAAGCATAATTTCGATTGGTGGAGAAGAGCAGTTTTGTTGACATATAATTTATGTGACACTCCTTGTCCGACAAGGTAATCGTGATTTATTGTGTATACGACGATGAGAGAATCCAAAGGAACAAGGTAAGAATTTACTTACTATACAAGTTGACTCTTTCATCGTATCGTTGTAACGTATTTAGCTAATATCTATGTTATAACAGTTAATTTTATAGGCTGAAGACAACTTGGTAACGTATTTAGCTAATATCTATGTTATAACAGTTAATTTTATTGGCTGAAGACAACGTTGTAACGTATTTAGGTTTTATCTGTTATAACAGTTATTTTTTATTGGCTGACGACAATGTAGTAACGAATTTAGGTTTTATCTGTTATTATTTTTTTTATTGGCTGAAGACAACGTGGTAACGAATTTAGGTTTTATCTGTTATAACAGTTATTTTTTATTGGCTGACGACAATGTAGTAACGAATTTAGGTTTTATCTGTTATTATTTTTTTTATTGGCTGAAGACAACATGGTAACGAATTTAGGTTTTATCTGTTATAACAGTTAATTTTTATTAGCTGAAGACAATGTGGTAACCTATTAAGGTAATGTCTGGTTATAATTGTTAACTTTATTGGCTGAAGACATTGTAATAACGTATCATCCGTGTAGATATTAACTCCGCAACAGTAACCTTTCTAAGTAGACCATAGTCCCGTTGTAGTAATTTGTATATAAGCACAAAGATGATGTACAACCAATAATATATAAATCCTAAAATGTATAACTATGTTATGGTAGTCCTTTTCTATATTGTTAAATACTTTTCTGACACGGTACCCTTTTCCCCATTTATCCAGATAAACCATTATTCTGATAAAATACCTTTATTTATCCATCATGTTACAGAACTTTACGTTTATCCAGGTGAAATATTTCTCCCACCTCTGTATATGCCAGAAATACGTATCCCAAGAGTAACAGCGATGTACAATATCTCTATCAGACAAGTGTGCATTTAATGGCCTGTAATACCCTTACAATGAGATAACGACGTATCCTGATGGCTCACAACCAAATATGGCATCCTCATTGACATTAAGACCTCGAGACATCGTCAAATGTGATACCTTCTAAATCGACACACGCCACAATAGTCAAAAATAAAAGCGACCTTCAATCTAATCTGTCCGTAAAACTGGGGTTGATAATCAATATCTGATATCTAGATTTTATTGTTTCTGTAGAACAATACTTAAGATATTCCAGTCAAATGTTGAATATTCTTTAAGCAAAATATAACACGTTGTAAAATTGAATTTTATTCGTTTCAATTGGGAAAATTAACAATTCAGGGATAACGATGTCATTGTAAAAAATCTATCCTGACACATGAATATTCTTACCTATAACATACCATGTCAGGAGTGACTGTTGGTTTGGTCACAAACATGTGTATAATACATCGCGATAGTGGTATGCCCTGAGGTGAACTGAACGTTGTTTACACTGGGCCACCGGTATGTAGGTATTTCAACACTTGACCAGTAATAAACCCAAACCCGTTCTTCCCGACAAGGTGGACTCTTTTGATAATACTTGGACTAGACGTGCTAAGAACTGTATATGATAATTATGTGTTAAAGATAAATCATTAGTAAATACCGTTATACGCGGTGTTTACTTGTGTCACTGTTATATCTTATATTTCACCATATATTTGCATTCTTTCCTCAACGATTTTTCTCTTGTTTCATTCATTTCATCCATAACTCAATTCGTCAATTCCAGATTTTCGTCTCTCTGTCGGGCTCGTTGATAAAATAAGAAATGAACAAACTTAATAGCCAAAACAAACCAGAGCATCAGTGAAACAGACGAATGTTTTCTCCGAAAACGATTGTATTGGACACAAAAGTGACTAAGGACTATATGTTCCCCCAAATTTTTTCGGGGTAACACTTGTACGAAATTAAACAGAATGTTTCATTCATGAAGTGACCTGTACATAGCTTGGTGAAGTCTGTGTAATGTCATCAGTTGAGGACCCCCGAGGATACGTCCAGTACTGGGACGAGGCACCTCCCCACCTCCCATAAAGCCACGAACCTAACCAGCACTAATTGTGATTTATTTATATGACTAAATGAGAAAAGAAACATTCAAATTCATCATTTTGCATCTAACATGATATACAATATTAAAGACTGTATGTATAGCAAATATTTAGATTAGTCCAGTTCAGGTTTAGTGCGACCCCTAACTTAGGCGTGGTTACGTGTTATCGGCGTGGCGACTTTTCCGTCAGATCTTAAGAAATGTTACATCGACCATTGTTCCTTTAATTTAAGACAAAGGAAAATTCGTTTCTTCATTACATATTTCTGTGCAAGTTGCGCGTTTTAAAAAGTTAAAAAAGAAAGAAAGAAATAAAACATGTTGTGTTGAATCCACGTATAACGTTGAGTATCCATTTTCGAGGCCATGAACAGATTATGACGTCACTGTAGCGTAAAAAATAGCGAAAAATGTCCCTTTAACACTTAGTTTAAAACTGTGGATAAGGTAAGTTTTGTTTTTTATTTGGTGTAAATGTCAGGATGTAACACACTTACACTCATGGTTCAATACGTCGCTGAAGTTTGTCAACATTTCATGTTTTGCGCTATGTCTATGGGGCCATTTTTCAGGCAATAAATTAGCCGGTGTAAGTATGGCTCATATGTCGTCCTAATATGTAAATTTTGAACAAAATCCATCAAAAAAATTTTGCCCAAAAGAATTATATATATCTTGATATTTTCCTTTTGGTTTATTATTATATACTTTGTAAAAACGCCAATATAGTGCTTATATATGCTCTTATCCTACCAAGTCCTTTAACCCTTGCGTTTTGATGTTAAATTGACTTGCTCTACAGTATGGCGTCCCATCGATTATAAAAGGAAATATAAGAGAAATGTAAATATTTCAAAATGGCAGACTCCCTAAAACGTATTTCATTATATGCCAACATCGACGGCAAATCAAACACTAACGTTATCTCCAACGCTAACAATTGTACAATGTACATTACGTAACAGGCCTATCTTAAATTATGGCTTTTGTACTTTTGTATTCAAAGGAATTAGATAAGGAAGTGCACTTTTAAACATACAAATTAAGATAAATTACAATGGTGGAAAAGCCTGGAATATACTGCTTTCTGATATTACCTGGATATGACATTCCGACATTTCAATGAAGTTTAAAAAAAAAAAAAAAAATAATAATAATAATAATAAAAAACAACAACAAAAACAACAACAAAAAAAAAAAAAAAAAAAAAAAAAAACAACAAAAAAAAAAAAAAAAACATTCTGCATTGTCAGGGAGCTTACGGCCTCCTTTAGGTTAGCCTATACCTATGAATTATTATGTGCCAAAACATGTTTGTGATATCTTCTTTATTTAATTCAATTTTTGACTAAACTATATGTAATCCTAAATTTGTATTAAAAGGTTTATTCATCTAATTACTGGACACAAAAAGCTAAAGATAATAAATATATGTGATTTTGTCTGCCATGAAAGTGAATTAAGCTTGACACTGGTTAATCATTGTTATGTCACCAGCGTATGCACAATAACTTTGCAACATGCAGTAAACGTGCCGTAACACATCACGTGACACAGAGTTGAAATCAATCTGTCAATTGTGGTTTTATTGGAAGTCTGTGTAGACTTAACGTCAAATCAATCAACAAAGGAGGTTAAATATGTCACACTTGTATGAATGAAATTATATTTAACGGTTCAGTGATACACAAGATATGTGCATAAGTCAATGCATGTACGAACTGCACAGAACAAAGTATAGTTATATATCTGAATATACCATGTGTTACATACACTGCATTGTAGATTACTGAAGTTTGATAGTGTTTGAAACAAGACCATTAACAAGGTATACATCAGGGAGATGTCATGATGTCATACTATTTTATGTTAAAGCTCTAGTGTCAAACCATCTTATGTTAAAGCTCAAGAATACAACTAATGCACGGAAGAATTATTATACTGTGAAATTTATTTGAAATAATTTTTCATACAGTATAATTCAATATTCATTTTCATTTACCGGAATAAGATGGTGACTGGTGCTCTTGCACTTTAAATTGTAACTAGTTAATCTAAATGGCATGCCTCTCTTACCCTGACTGTAACTTCTTCATTGCTCTAATTCATGCAAAAATATTTCAAATAAATACACTGCACGTGATAAACATATTGTTTATAGATGCATTAAGACAAAAAAAACGGTGCTCAAGTGTGACTTAATTAGTAATCAGGGCACTTAATTACCGTGACCTACTTTTCAACAATAGCATATTTTTTGGTCATTTTTTCTAATGAAGGTTTTAAAATATATCATCAAATGACATTTAAGAGAAAAAAAATTCAAAAAATATTTTATTTTGATAATTAGTGCAATAATTATGAATTTGATCCTCCACTCGTCCCCCCCCCCCCCCCCCTCCTATAACAAATGAACAGCCTTGAGCTGACCTTAGATTAATGTCATGTCATTACCGCCTGACCTCACGTTTTTAAAAGACAAAAAATAAAAAGTATTCCTCATGGCCGCCAGAAGGCCCAAACTGGCACTGGCGGGAGAGACTGGCCATGCAGTCGGATGTTTCAAGTAGGACAATCGCAACGAACTGTGTTGCACACTTCATTGTGTCACAGTCATTTCTCGATTGTGGAACCGATTACACATGACAGGAAACGTCACCAAGAGACTTCGATCGGGTATATGACAGCCCGTCAGGATCGCTATTCAAGCACTTTTACTGGGCAAAATCGGTTCGTAAGTTCTACTGGGTTGAATAACGGCTCGTGCCATGCAATTGGACGAAGACTTTCTGTACAGTGAGGATTTTAAAAAACTTCACATCTATGGATTACGCTCTCACAGACCAGCTGTACGATCTCGACTCACACGCCGTAACTATGTAGCTAGGTAGCATTGGGCAGCTGACCATGAATTGAATTGGTCATATTTCTTTCTACGGATGATTGAGTCTAGGTTTTGTGTGGATTTTCTTGATGGCATGATGTGTGCTTGTCGTGGGAAGGGTGAAAGGTATGCTCACTGCTGCGTCACTGAGCATAACCGTTTCGAGGGGGTTGGGGTATAGACTGGCCTAGTCTCTCACCCCTTTCACCCGACCTTTACCCGATGGAGCATGCGTGGGACATTTGAGGCAACGCATAACCGATCGCTCGCGGCTTCCTGTCAACTGACATCGGAGCTTGCTGACGCTTCGTCAGGAATAGCCATGAATTCCTCAAATGGATATACAGCGCCTGATTCACAGCATGCCAAGCCGATGTCCTGGTCACTGTAGGGCACACTCACTATTGATGGTGTTGCTAAACCCACCGAAGCATTTATAATTTTCAGCGCCATTTGGACTTTTACTTTGTTTTAGAGGGTTATAAACTTTTTATGAAATCATACCTGACACGCTTAGATGACATTGATTCAAAGTGTGTCAAAATTGTTTTCTTATGGTTTTTGACTTTCGAAACAAATAAATCTATCTTTAAAAATGTGCCCAGTATATTATCTGTCATATTTGATCACGATTCGACAATTGATCGCCTAATGTTGATGAAAAATGAAAATGCACTGTATAACCCCATTTTTGGTGTCGTGGCCAGGCAGGTTAATGAGATTTAAATATTTTAATGTTATTCATGTGAAAAAGACCAGTAAAAGATTGTGACTAGTTTCAAACAATTGTACTGGTCTGATTGTTACATGTATACTGGTTATGTTTTGTACTTAAAATGTATTTAGTGAACCTCTTATAGAGTTTTTCTTGATCGTTGTATGATCCGAAGTTGTATTTTTATGAAATTGTGTGAACAGGAGACGAAAATTTTATAATACGTCTATGTTAATGATTTTTCCAGTGGTGGCCATTATGGCCCAATTGGACGCTACCTCCTCTGCGCCACCATATTCATCTGTTTAGCTATAGCCGGTGTTGGAGTTGGACTGGGTGTTTACATACATAATGTTTCCGATAAATTGTCGTCAGACTGCCCAACTGTTTCATCACCTGTCCAATCAACTGTCCCAACAACTACACCATCATCTACCGCGTCACCATCGATAGAAGGGTCCTACAGATATGGAGCTGTGGCTTCTGATGCAGGAATTTGTTCTACTATTGGAACGTAAGTTTTCACCTACACAATTGACATAACTGTCATCCACATAAGTCGTGTTGTTGAAAACGCCAAATCAAAAAGTTTCTTCACTTCAAAGTTGAGTCTTATTGATTTAACTGTAAAATGATTTATCCATAATTTTTTTCAGAAATATCATGGCCCGGCAAGGTGGCTCTGCTGTAGATGCTGCCATTGCCGCACTTTTGTGTCAGTGTGTACAGAACCTGCATAGTTGTGGTATAGGTGGAGGGCACTTCATGACCGTATACAACAGGTAACTTACAACTGGAAGGTATAAACGTATATTACTGGAAGGTATATTTCGAAAATACAGAAAAATGAGCGAAAATAATCTGAACAGTCAAAACTTTTTAAATTTCTACTGCTTCTTGTCTAGTTCCCAATAGGAATTTCAATCACTGTGTACTTACTACTCATTAAATCTAATTGACACGTAGCAGAATGAGAAATGAAACAGAACAGGCGCTATAACCTACGTAGTACCCCAATAATTGTGGCTATGTATCCTCACGTTTTAAATAATTTTCAAATTGCAAAACACAATCTCAGACTCAGAATTCTAAGTAATTACAGTGTAATTTTTGGTGAATTTTTATGTGTGTACAAATATTTTGATTCTGTTAATATTCGACCACTTTGTTAAAAATGTATATAAAAGACAGTTGATGAGTTTAAAGAGACAAACGACTGTGTCTATTCCCCAGAGAAAACAACACTGCATACACCATTAACGCCCGAGAAATGGCGCCAAGAGCAGCTTCCGAGAACATGTATGTAAAACAATCGTCAGTAGAAGGTGAGTCTTTCCTACACTTTGTTATATAGTAATATGTCCGTACAATAAATATTAGGTGTAAACTTTACAATGTAACGCATGGCTGTCCAAGATTTTCTTCTTAAATAACTTAACGTAGCGCACATGAAATGTTTCTAATCGAATTGAATCGAAAATATGATACTGTAAACGTAATTAATTTGGCGCAATAACATTTTTGGCAAATTAGCACAATGATGAAATAGCTCAACCACAACGATTGCTGGGTCAACAAAAGCCAGAATCCTTAAGTAACACAATTATATTTTATCGTAGTATCTTCAGCTCGAAAAGCCCTTAAATATGAAAACCGCTAAAAGATGAACGTTTACAGTATATATATTTTTGGAAGATGTCTTTCTGTCTTGACTGATGTTGTTTTCTTTCAGGATGAACTTTGATATTTCTTAACTACATATGTATCATTTTTTTAATACTTACTGTCTCCTGAAAAGTTGAAACACCAGATATTTGCTTCAAAATCCATTCATGTTGTTCAGTCTCATTCTACAGAATTGAGAACTAAAACGTCATATATTTTTGTTTACTTCCTCTTAAGCATAATGATGACATGATATATTGATTAACAGGTGGTATAGCTGTTGGAATACCAGGTGAAATCAAGGGGCTGCATACTGCATGGAAGCTTGGTGGCAAATTACCATGGAAAACGTTATTCCAGCCTACTATACGTCTGCTTCGAGACGGAATGCCGGTTAACAGTGCTCTTGCTTCCGCTATCGAAAGGAATGCCGCCTTCTACCCACGATACGATAACCTGAGGTAAGACCTCCGCTGCGTGTTGAAATACAAATGCAACAAAAAGATCATAAGCTGCAATAAAACTCCTAACAGTTTACATACATTAGAAAGTAAAATACAGGTATGTGTTATTGAAATATCAACATCGTTTGGGGCAATGACTACATAAAAGAACATAAAGGTTTCTTTCTTTAATCTATTTTATACAAATTGCAACGTAGATTTTTTAAAAAAGTTATTCGAGATTATGTGCCTTGTTCAGGCGGTGTGGATGATTGATTTATGTGATTTTCATAATTGTTGTATTAATATGTGTTTGTGAGAGTTTATATTAGTTTGTTTTTATATACTCTCTTTGATCTAAATACTGTCTGTTATAGGGATCAGACTGTGTTAAAATGTAGTTTTATTCACATCTTACATCCTTGTATTAACCTGAGGTAGATAACGTGATTTTATATCATGTTCTCCAACAGGAGATTACTTACAAATCCCACAACAGGGTTCTACTTCAAAGAAGGGGAAATAATGAAATGGCCAGCTCTTGCAAACACATTTACAACAATAGCTGAAGAAGGTCCGGACGCTTTCTACAATGGTAGCCTTAGCCGGGACATCGTACAGGACATTAGGGATGCAGGTATATATACTGCTACTGCCCACTATACTGGGACATACCGGTGATTTTATGCAGCCCGAGTACCATGCTTACAATATAAAGTGTTTCAGATTTTACCCACAGCTAGTAATACATTACCCTACAAATAACGGCTAAAATTAGAGAAAGTATGCTAAAATTATTGTGATTAGATATTAGCCTATGAGTCAACGTGGTTGATAAAACAAAACAGTAACACGTAGTTTTGTTATTGAAGATTTCATAAACACTGGGACTGTTTGCATATCCAAGCACTTTTTTCAGTGAGTCACATTATTGCTGTTTGTAATGCATAGCTTACGACAGCTGTACCATAAAGTGACATTGTGATACGAAACGGCCACCACACGTAACATCTTGGACATGTTTAAAGTAAACCCTATACTGAAGATAAATTTGGTATGGGATTGTCGACAGATTCAACCTAACAACTGGATTAGTACGTGATTTCTCAATGTATCTTCATGTACGTGGGTTTTAACTTACCTACCATGTGCCGAATTTGTGTTCGTGATCATCTTAACTTAACAGTAATAATTATGGTGATGATTGAATGAAGATTTTGTTGAGAAAAGTAATTGTAATTATGTTGAAATAATTTAATATTTCAATCGAACTAAATCGAATACGTAATGTATTTAAAGAAAATCTGAAATTCTCATTAACAATGCGTACCCATTTCAGGAGGCATAATAACCGAACAGGACCTACAGGACTACACGGCGTTGGTTAGAGATCCTCTCGTCATCAGCCTTAACGACAATTCATCTGTTTTCTCCCCACCACCACCCTCCAGTGGCGCTGTCTACGAAATGATTTTAAACATACTTGACGGTACCTTTTGTTATACTCTTTTGTATAATTGCATATTCGTATATTGCATGCGATATTCACTTAGCACCTCACAAGCTGACATATTCTTTGTATCTTACAGACATGATTCCTTGCCAAGAATGAGAATGACGTCACACTAAAGAACGATTGCGGTTTTAGTTATTAATTGGTATCATTACGGTCATTGCAAGAGGGTTTCAGATGCACAGTCAATATATGGAAATATATAAAGCTTTTTGTAGCATAGTGTGCGTTTTTCATTAACAAAACGATATTTATCATGAGCGAAAGCACGTTAATTGTGAACTTTTCTATTATTTTAACTGTGGTTTAACATCTCCTCACAGAGTTTAGAATGAGCAGTGACAGTATATCTACACCACAGAAGGAAGTACTTGCTTGGCATAGGATCGTAGAAGCATTCAAGTTTGCCTACGCCAAAAGGTCTAGCCTTGGTGATGGAGACGGTGAAGATGATGCCTTCCGAGCTAATCTCAATGAGGTTAATATATAGCTGTTGTATATCAATCATTATTGTTACAAAGTCTATTGAAATGAGCAGTGTACACCTTATATCTTTTCAAGTCGAAATCTAGTGCTATAGAAAGCAAATTTGCGTCGAAACTATCAGCTCCTTTCCATCCCCCAACCTCCAAAAACTAAAAATAATACCAAAACCAAAATCAGAAATAACTTTAGATATAATGCTGCTGAAAACAAGTTTCACAGGACCATTTATTTCAATGAAAATTATGAAAAAAATGTTTTACCAAGTTAAGTGTTTTGTTGAGAAAAAGACATTTCTTCCATCAATTGTGGTATCCTCAGTCGCCTCCTAGGTTTTAAACTTTTGACCCTAAACAACTGGCAAAGCAAGAAGGTCGAACCAGCTGTATGATCCAGTTTACTTAGAGTCTAGCGCGACTGTAACCAATACAAATTTGTACGGCATTGAACGGTACTTGTGTACAATCCTTTAAGTTGGAAAAGAATGCCAGACTATAACCTCTTATTTGGTTATGTTTTGGACGACACAAGTATGTCTCTCTGCAGTATAATCGAATTGCATGTAGCTAGAGATCCACCTAACTTTAAAGTTTACTGTTAAGCACGTTCAACATATGGTAAAAATAGAAATTTACTGTTTCAGATAAAAGTGTTATGACTTAGATATCAATTTTGTACAATAATGTAACTGCCTCATATTAAAGTTGAAAAAAAAAAAAACACATCTATGCACTGATGTCATAATCGTAACATTTGTCAGTGTTTGTTGTAGCTGCTCAGCAACATGACGTCAAAGAGCTATGCGGCCTACATACGATCGCAGATCACGGACGATAGAACTCACGACACAATGTATTACGGCCCTACATTTTATGACGCTATAACGACAAGCACTGCCCATTTATCTGTTCTGGCCCCTAACGGGGACGCAGTGTCTGTCACAAGCACTATAAACTTACAGTAAGTGAGGTAGATTATAATTCAATAATCCTAAGATTAAACTGGATTTAATTTAATTTGTTTGAGAAAACGGTAACATTGCAAAACATGCTAGTTACAGTGTACAATTAAACACTGTCTTAGAAAGATGTCATAATTACTTAGCGTCCTTGCCAATTTTAAAAAGGAACTTACATTCTGAAAACGGGCAAAAGACAAATTGCTTACAAATTGCAACATCTCCCCCCGCCATAGGAGAATTGATAGTAATTACATACCAGAACGTGTGTTTTTTATTTTGCTTGGAATGCACAACTCTGATGTACTCTGCGTAAACATTTGCGGTAATGAATATTTCGCTTCTGTTATTACAAAACATATTTTTACAGATTTTATAAGAAAAAACAACATCAAATGCAACAAGCGTTGGAAAATATTCCACAGTCTCTATCATGCATTCTGACATTTTACAGTTTTGGCTCCAAAGTTTTGGGATCAAGAACAGGAATTATATTTAATGATGAAATGGACGACTTCTCTACTCCAAACACCACAAATTCTTTTGGTGTCCCTTCTTCTGAAGCTAACTTCATAAAGCCATTAAAGCGTCCCTTGTCCTCAATGTGTCCAAGCATAATCACAGATAGCAATGGAGTTGTTCGACTTGTTGTTGGCGCTTCCGGTGGAACGAAAATAACTACGTCAACGGCGATGGTATGTTGTCGAAAAGAACATGTACTATACAGCTTCTCCTATTCCAGTTTTAGTCGTAGTGGCGAAGTGATCCTGTTAAGGGCAACTGCAAGCATAAGGATGCTTCTTTATATGCCCACTTATTGCAGATATGGTTTAATTTACGATAAAGATCATATATGTAGCCATTGATTACAAAATAAACATAACCTTCAAATATGTTTAATCAGGTATTCTTCATTGACAACTTCAAAAAAAAAAAAAAAAAACCAAACAAACAAAACAAAAACAATAAACGAATAATGAAAAAAAAAAAAAGAAAAGAAAATACCAACATGTCTTCAGAATCTTAATAGATCTAAATAAAGACTGATAAAACTAAATATGCACAAATGAAAGATTTACACGGAGACTAGTGACAACAAACAAGGAGAATAAGACCAGGTAGTCTGACAGGGTCAATCTTCATCAATCCAAGTACCCAAGTAGAGATTTAAGTAATGCTATTTTCCCAGATAAAAGCAAGGCAAACAACAAGGAAACTACTGGGCATATTAACGAGGATAAAACACGTATAGCACAAGGAAAAACATTTAGAGCCTTTCCTAAAAAATATTTCCTTTAATCTTCATCAACCTGAATCTCTCGAAACCCTGTTTTGTGAATGTCTGTCTGTTGCCGACCTCTTGCATGAAAATTGTCGTATTAGAACATCATTTGTACCATTTAATTTTCTTTTATTAACTTGTTTGATTTGCTGTGTGCATTGAACAGGTGACGGTGGAGACCCTAATGTTCGGTATGGGTATCAAGGAAGCCATTGATCATCGGCGCATCCATCATCAGCTGCTGCCGAAGGAAATAATGGTAGAGGAGGGGTTTCCAGAGGTAATTCAACGGTCGTATAATTGATTTAATTTGTATAACGAAAGACAGATGTTTAGCAATTTGGTTATGTATTAATCAGAAAAGTAACATTTATAGCATCACTCCAAGTGCTTATTTGTTGAATACTACGTCACCTAGGAAACGTTCTAAAAACAAAAAAGGAATACCATGATACCATCACTGATTTTGATTAATGCATTCCATTTTCTAAAGTTCGGAACAATGTTATGCAGACATCTTGGTTTGTGTATCTTGTAAATAACTCGCTCTCCCTCCGTCGGATGTAAATTATGTGATAAACTAGATTTTTTACACGAAAATGTATTAAACCTTTAGAGATTTAACGATTAGTTAAAATTTTCAAACCATTCGCAACAGCCAAAAATATTTTTTTTACATATAATGGGTATATGCTTAATTGAATATGTAGCATTGAATCAATAATATATTTCATAGAATTTGTGCTTCCAAACAAAAATCAAATACTGATGATTCAGTTGTATCGACCACTTTTTAAGACCTGTCTTAATGTGGTACTTATAAACAGTACACCATAAAGAGTAAAAACAAGAGTCTCATGGTGTTGATTGTCTTCGCTATTTTATTCAAGGAAATTTTGGCTGGACTTCGCAGTAAGGGACACAAGGTCAGCGTCACCAGCAGTGCAGGGTCAGTGGTACAGGGAATATTACAACGGGAGGAAGGCCAGATTACCGCTAATTGTGACTTCCGTAAAGCAGGGTATCCAGATGGCTACTAAATCTACCAGACACAACCTCTGTCTAAATATCATTTTTGCATTATTAAGATTTTCCTAAGATATACATGTTTGTAGAGCGAGAATCAATGTAGATATAGTATGTATCAGCGGTAAGTAAGCAGACAACTGATGAGCGTGCGTCTGCTTAAATAGGTGTTACCTGGTGCCTCATCGTTTTGTTTTTGGAGAAATTGATTAAGCTGTCATGAAGTGCATGGTACAGTATACATGTGGGTGAAAATGAAAGTTATTAAAGATAAAGTTTTCTGTATGTGCGTCTGCTTAAATAGGTGTTACCTGGTGCCTCATCGTTTTGTTTTTGAAGAGATTGAATAAGTTGTCATGAAGTGCATGGTACAGGACATGTTGGTGAAAATGAAAGTTATTAAAGATAAATTTTTCTATATCACACTTTGATACAAGAGCAACAAAGTATGAGATTAGCAAAGTGAGTGAAAGAGAGAAAACATGAAAAAGGGAAATAAAATACAATTGTCTAGCAATGGAAGTTAAAATGTTTTTACTCCAAAACGATAACGTGATGATTCCTTTCATAACCTGGTGTATAGCCAAAATTCTTTACCGGTTTCAGAAAAGTGTGTGCACGTTACTGCAGACATTGTGGTCATTTGTTGTGCTTCACATGTAGCAAAGTTGCAGTATCGGTTCATTTCTTGTTAAAATAATGCCCTGCCTTTTTTCTGTATTGTTTTACTTATCGGAGTTACTAGTTACATGTAGTTAGCATATGTACTCAACATCCAGGTACTACATACAGAATACTTCAACATCCAGGTACTACATACAGAATACTTCAACATCCACGTATTACATACAGAATACTTCAACGTCCACTTACTACTTACAGAATACTTCAATATCCAGGCACTACATACAGAATACTTCAACATCCACGTATTACATACAGAATACTTCAACGTCCACTTACTACATACAGAATACTTCAACATCCAGGTACTACATACAGAATACTTCAACATCCAGGTACTACATACAGAATACTTCAACATCCACATACTACATACAGAATACTTCAACGTCCACTTACTACATACAGAATACTTCAACATCCACGTATTACATACAGAATACTTCAACGTCCACTTACTACATACAGAATACTTCAATATCCAGGCACTACATACAGAATACTTCAACATCCACGTATTACATACAGAATACTTCAACGTCCACTTACTACATACAGAATACTTTAACATCCACGTACTACATACGCAATCGAATCTTTTGTGACCTGCCGGAACACCTAATGGTGCTTTTTGTTCTCTCTTTTTTATATAGACCTGCTCATTGAATGTGTGAGTTATCAACATTTAACGACTTTTCCTATATTGATCTAAACTAGTATAACAGCACAAGACTACTTAGAAATCCATCAAGTGTCTATTGAGTATTGACTCGGATAATAAATATATTTACGTGCCTGTTGATCACAGTGTTTGATTATAGAATCAGTCTATAACCTGGCTGAATAAAGTTTCACAAACATTTGTTTTACTTTTTTTTCCTAATGTGCAATATAGAGTCAATGATGATGATGATGATGATGATGATGATGATGCGTGATGCGGTTGAATAATGAGGGATTAATATTCAATATATTGTGTTGTATATTGCACCACATTATGACTTTTTCCCGATTACTTCAGATTAACCATGATATATTGAACATAAAGCAAGATGCTAAATATGAATTATAAAATATTGGATATACATCACGAAATTATTCAATATAAAGAAACAATATATTTAATAAAAGTTACATGATTGTACAATTAGATATTGAATATAAATCACAAGATTGCACAATTTAAAAATAGCTCCGCAAACGCGGGCAATACGCCACAGCCTTATTATAAAGTTGGGTGCAGGGCTGAGATTGTGAAGAACCTCAATAGACTGTGTAGGTCCATAGGCCCAACATACCCAGCGAAAATGGTGATCGCTGGTGATGTCGTTCTAGAGATAATGAGCAGAATGCAAATTCAAAATGGCGGACGTAGCCACCATATTGGATATCGGGCCACGACAAAAAACAATAGGGTTGTGTAGGTCCATAGACCCAACATGCCCAGTGAAAATGGTGATCGCTGGTGATGTCGTTCTTGATATAATGAGCGGAATGCAAATTCAAGATGGCGGCCGTAACCGCCATATTGGATTTCGGGCGATGACGAAAAACAATAGGGTTGTGTAGGTCCATAGACCCAACATGCCCACCGAAAATGGTGATCGCCGGTGATGTCGTTCTTGATATAATGAACGCAATGCAAATTCAAGATGGTGGCCGTAACCGCCATATTGGATATCGGGCGACGACGAAAAACAAAAGGGTTGTGTAGGTCCATAGACCCAACATGCCTAGCGAAAATGGTGATCGCCGGTGATGTCGTTCTTGAGATAATGAGCGGAATGCAATTGTGGACGGTAAGACGGCAGGACGGACGCACGGACGCCGTGCTGGATCGCAATAACCCACACCCTTTCGGGCTGTGGGGTAAAAACATGATATAATGAAAATAAATCACGACTAATTTTTCGAATTACATTATGAAACATAAAACACAAAATTTAGATTAAAAAGATAAGAGATACAAGATACGAGTTTTATATTAAAAACTAAAAGATATTGCATATGAAAAACAAGAAATGAACATACATTCTATTTTTAAATCACAATATGTTAGAATGCCGCCACGTTTTACAAGTCATAATATGACACATTTAGATTTTAGCAGCAGCTAGACATTCTGCATTAGGGTGATGAATGGTAAGATCATTTGTATATATAAAAATATACCATTAACAAAGTCATATGGAAAACCAAAACATACACACTAACGAAATCGAACCCAGGGTTTTAACATTTATTTCTACCAAGCTAGATCTTCCTCAGTCGCCTCATAGGTTTTATTGATTTATGCACCTAGCATCACCGACTAGTGCTAGAAGGACGGAACGGCTGTTTGATGCACTTTAGTTCATTTGACTCTGTTGTATACAATTCAAAATTTTGTAAACAAAAATGTGTTCTGGTGTGAATTATGTACATGAGCACAAAACACGAAGAAAAGAAATATTTACACAGAGACTTTTATAATAGTACAAATTGGTAAGCTCTTTTTGTTTCATTGTCAACACCCGGGTCTTGTTCTCAAATGAGAGCGAACTTAAATTTAATATCCTAAAAACAACAGAATAACAAGGATTACTAACGAGCACTGAATCAATCTTACCTTATATCACAAAATGTAACAGAATACTTTCAAATAATTGTTTGCCTGGTTTATCGCTCCGTAAACAGCCAGAGTCATTTTAAGGCGGAAATTCTTGTAATAGCTGGTGGTTATCTCACTGATATCCATTTGGGAGGACCGTCGCCTGCCGCTCACAGCAATTAGGGTCAAGTGCCTAGTCGAAGGACACAACCACGTCAGCAAAATCACGGATCTTTAGCCGAGATTACAAAGTTTGTCGCTCTAACATGACAGTAAATACCTATCATGTGTAAGAACTGGGGTTAGTACCGATTTGTGTGCCGATTGTGTAATGATTATGTTATAGTTCAAGACTTTAGGATATTTACATGTTCCATTTATAGCAAATCAGCGGCGGAGTAAATAGCGACGTTACTGTCCTAGTATCTACATGATGGGAGTCGTTTGGAGCATAATGGAATCCATTGAAAACGTCACTACTTGCATAAATACCGAAGGAAGACACGTGCACAGCCCCATCACTCTAACGGTGTTGAAACCTGTCTAGTATCCCAACTTCCTAAGGTGACGATATCTGTTTTTAAGCCGCTGTTGTGAAGCTGTTAATTTAATTATCCAAATTTAGTGAAAACGAGTTTAACAGGCTTACCTTCTGTTTAATTAGTTTTAACTGTATTAGTTCATTCCAACATTGGAGTTTACCAGTGAAAATAGTCTAATCCAGTTTCATAAACATTCTTTAAAAGGAAAAGAATGGATGTGAAACTGTGATTGGATCTTCCAAAATACCATGTATGCTGTAAAGTAGGAATATTAAACGTGTTTAGACGAGAGAAATCAGTAAAGACTGCAGTCATTTGTGTAAGTGACTACTACTGTGACGTCAACACTACAAAACTACAAAAATTAAAATTTAATCAAAATATGTTTATAAACATTATAGTGGAATAGCTCATTCCTTCGTAAGGTGCTATAAACAATTACGGTTTGATTTTTAAGTTATTTTATTAAATATTGCATTATACATTCATGAAAATACCTGAAAGCAGACAGAATAGAAGGGCGGATAAGGCTGAAAACATATTTAGGAATGGGAGAAAGTGGAAGAAAGATAAGAAGGAATTCAAATGGACTTAGAATCGTGTGCTATGGTCTTTTATCTGTTTGTACCAAATTATATTCCCAAATTTTCACGCTGTCGAATATGAAAGAAAAATAATAATAAATATAATTTCACATCCATTTCTAAACAGAACTCTGTGAAAGTCATACTGTTTAAATCTCCCTCTGTTCCATTACCTTATATCCATTTTGATAAGAAGCAGACATCGAGATTACATTGGGTTATACATGTAGATTTAAAACTATTGACGGATGGTTGTTCCCCGAGATTGATTGGTAAACTGTTCTATAATCCAGCTCTGGAAGGGATGACAGAAAAGCGTCTATATCAACATTTCCAGTTTTTTTTGTAGATCCAAATGCAGAAAAAAAGGCTGAACCATCATGATTTTAAAACATTTCAGTGACGTGAACGTAGAAAACACAGATGATGATCGTGCATGATATACGAATGTTTAAAATTAGATATAGTTAAAATGAATCTGTATCCATTTCTACTTTTCTGACGTCATTGTTGGAAAGGAGTCAGGGAAGGGATTGTTGAGCGTCGTGTAGTCAACTCCTAACTCATTAGGAAATTGGATTGTCACAGCTTATACACTTACTGTATAGATAAGTACAACGTGTGTGATTCGATGAACTTTTTCACCGCTGTTATGGCTGTGTCCTTTCGTCGAATATTTAACATGAATTCCTTTGCATACCATTGGGGGAAGGGACGGTCTCCCTCATATTTGCATTGAGGTAGTTACAAGCTAGTACAAGGAGACTCCATTTCAAATAATAGATATAAAAAACGGGGAATGGGTCGTAAAATCAAATATAGCGTACAAAAAGTTTATATAAATATATAATACATCGATTCAATATTGTAGTTATTCCAGCAAAAAACAGTTTACATAAATTTATGTCAAATCGAATTTTTTCAACTCACCGTTGACACTGGTAGTAGATAGAGATCTTGCGACATGAGTAAAATCGTGCGAGCGTGAAAGGTGAATCAGCTGAGGGAAGAGGATTGGCTAGAACATCACTAATGGACAAGCAAGAGACTGAGAGCTGCAAGAGGACCTTGATGGGAGACTTGTATTCCCATCCATCGTGGACAGAACGCTCCGGCCTGACATGGTCCTCAAATCAACGTAGTCAAAATCATTCGTTGTAGTGGAGATGACAGTGCCATGGCAAGAGAACTGGGGAGGCGCACGAGATAAAGAGTCTGAAGTACGCAGACCTAGGCAGACTGCAGGAAAATAGAAAGGAGTGTACTGCTGATTCCAGGCGAGTTCGACCCCAGAGGTTTTCCAGCACAGTTAGTGAGCAAGTTTTGCAATAACTGGGAATGTTGGGAAAGGCGAAATCGACAGCCTTTGGTGAAGCAGCAGAAAGAACATTTATAAGTTGGTAAAACTTACTGACTAATCCTATTGTCAATGTCATTGTCAATAAAATATGTTTAAAGTAAAGTAGCAGAAAGAACGCCCGAATGACATATGCTGGAAGTTGGGATCCATCGAGATGTGGTTGGCCACCACTACTGACCCACCAATTAGAAGATGTCGCGGTTCAGCGATGAAACATCCGAGGGTAGTTGCAATGGCAACCACCTGATGATGAAGGAAACCGGCAATCGAACACCAAGGGACAGAAGCAGCCAGGCATGTGCAGAGGATTCCAGGATTCCAGGATTACAAGCAGAACAAAATCGTCTGCATCTTAACACTGTGCGTGGATTATCTGTACGAGTTGTTTTTAATAATTTCTGGTGTACATACTTGAAATTCATCATGTCTGTCTATGAGCGGTAAAGATATTGGTTCACTAAAGTAAATCGATAAAACAACCAACGACGGGGAGGAATCGGCAAGACGGAAACTCATCCGAAGTTGTCAGTACGTTTCTTTCAAATGGAGATAGGGATTTATGTATTATTCTCTATCATATTGTCTAGTAAAGGTAAGGGGCAATATCATTGACATGATTTTATTAAGCTGTGGTATTACAACTGAAGTTGGGCCCTGGATTAAAAATATAACCTGTTACGATTATGCACAGTGTATCGTCTATCGGCATTCAGACATTACCGACAAACAGAAAAGTCAGTCGAAATGTGTATCAAACATTATCATCATCGTACTCACCACTTCACATTTCGATGACACATTTTAGCATGTTTTCTTAATAAATTTCTTCAATGTCGATATCAATCATATGTGTCCCAATGGGAAAGATGGACGCCATCTTCAGGCTATAAGAAGTCACGAGTATATCAAATATTAGATCGTGAAAATTATCCAATGAAAAAACGCGTTACATAACCATACAGCGTAGTTTCATTTTCAAAAGTTAAATTGATGTATCTATGGAAATGAACACATGAGAAATAAAAATCATGACTCGTCTCTGATTGGCTGGTCACTGTGAGTATTCATCGAACCTTGAACACGTGCAGGTTGAGCGACAACTCCACCGCACGCTTTTATAATGTATTTTACTAATCATCTAGCTTTGTCATTTAGATGATATTTACCTTATATTTTATATCCTATATACGATGATGTCCTACGAGATTATCTTGTATAAGTTAATCGTTATTTTTAACAATGTGTCTTTTGTTATATTTATCTTTTGGCTTTTATAGTGAATAACAAATCTTTGTCAGTATATGTAAATCTCTTGCACTTTTTTTTTTGTCTAAAAACAACCATTGAAAGCCATAACTTAATAAATTGGATTTTTATCATGGCTTCTTTCAATTCCTGGAAATTGTGTACATAAATATCGAGAAAACTATCGTAAATAACGAATTAATGGATCATTCGCATACCTGTAATCCAATTTAAATGTTTCTTTAATAGGAATATAAACACATGTGAATAACAAACTTGTCAGTAAATCTCTTGGAAACAACCAGTCTTCTCTCCACTTCGTGCCCGAAAAGAAAACTCAAACCCGCAAATACTCATTTGCCGTACTAGCCCGTCACGAATTAGTGCAGTAGGCGTTTAATAATACATGGTGTAGAAAATACATTGTACGTACGAATCTCACTCCGACAGACGTGACGCAAACGTCCCTAACGCACACACTCCTCACCCACGAGAGCGTCCTAGACACTCCATACTCACCTCCCATCACAGAATGTATCGCGCAAGAAAAAGGATAATCCCCGGAAACCTGTGTCCAACGGGGCTGGAATCGATTACCTCCAATTGCAATACGTTCTCCGGGCCGACACAAGGACCGGTGTCGAAAAAAAAAAAAATAATAAAAACAATCGTTCTACCGGAGCGCCACTAACACAATATCAGCCAATCACACTCCCACTAAGCATACCCGACTTCCAGATTTCCCTTCAAAAGTAAAATGCTCGCAAACCAACTACATATAATAATACTGATAGGCACACTAACTAACTAAATTAACTGGACTGCACTGCTTTCACCCGCGCACCCACCCTTACCTGGGTCCTCGCCAAAACACATCCGCTATACTACCGAAACGCGGGAATATTTAATTGAATGTAATTTTGTGTGAGAGAAAGTTTGGATATCGGACTGGAAATTGGAATAAAGGTGGCAAACCGGTGGAAATGGGTTGGAAACTAGAAGTAAGGTATGAAAACCAGAAGCCTGGAGTTCAGCAAGAGGGTTTGGAACCGGGAATTAGTAATTAGTGCATCCCCTCATCCCGCCCCTTCAAAAGTTGCTCGCCTCTTTTGTCGTTTTCGTCCTCGCCAAAACACATCCAATATTTTAAGAAACTGACTATGTATTCTCTCTAACTACGTCTGTGCAGTAATCAACATGTAATCATGTGGTGTTTTTTTTCCACACACCTTGTTTAAAGTGCGGTTATCTTTCACGATAGTCGGCGTATATCGGTCTGGAACTCTTCAGTGGTGAAGGTAAATTTAACACCGAACGAAATTTATTGATTAAGGAACGAAGAGACAGAAATGGAGAAAGACGTAGATGTTTTAGGGAAATATAGAGCGGTAACTAACAAATTGAAGAAGTAAGTAAACAGTTGCTTGATCTATGAACGATACGCGTTTTAGTGTTAGACTGATGCCGTGACAGTAAACCAATAGCATGGTTCACTTTCTGTCTTTGACGAGTGTGACACATGTAATTAACAAAAACACTGTATTTTCTACGTATTCAGTTCTGACATAAGTCTTGCCAGCTGCTCTCAAATTTCATTTGAAAATGATGTCCTGGAACCGCATCATCTTATTGATATCTCATTAACCGAAAACCCGCAGCCAGTGTTTTATCTGGTTAATCCTAATCAAAGGTTATAAGAATTGGTCATTTCGGATGAAATGTCTGCTGTTGAACTGCTGAAATAATAATTATTCTAATAATCATTACTCTTCAAATACATTGTGTCTTATGACTACTTGTAGTTTTCTTTATCTTTTCAGGCGCTTTCTAAAAAGACCCAATGTAGCAGAGGGTATAGAGCAATATTGTAAGTTCAAGTTCCAAAATATAATTAGGGATGTAGATATTATTACACATATCTGATAGGAGATTAATCAACTGCATTTCCATTTCGCTGTTTTAATGAGGTAAAAACTTTCTGGGAGAGATGGGGGCTCACAAAATTATATGCATGTATAATATATTAAAAGCAGAAAGAAAGAATGTCAGGTTGCTGTACATGTACATTGAATCTAATTTGATTTTAATCAACAAATCTTCATCTTTCATTTTTACATACCTATATATATTTCTGTATTTGTTTTTCAGCTGCCCTTGCAAAGAGTTTAAAACAGCAGGATTGTCCACAGTATGCAGGGTTTTGTTGTTTAGCACAAGCAAGGTAAATTTCGAAGTCAATATTTATCATTTGTCTGATGTTATTAACAGTCTAACATCAACAAAGGAGTTAAACTTGTATTCTTTTAATAACTTTGGGTAATATGTCTGTCCCATCTTGTCAGGATTGATATTTTGACTGAAGCTGATTATCTCTTTATAGAAAAAATTTGTGATATTTTCAAGATACCTGTGGTAAGTTCTGTATAGTATACAAATCTCATATCCTAACATTGCAGACAATACTATATCAGAGTACATCATATTTATATAAAAGACCTTGTTATTTCTTGTCAAGCTATGTCATTTGAAAGGGTGTTGTACGCAGAAGGAATTAGACAATGTCTCTCTTGCTCAGAAATATATTATTTTTAAGGGGGAGCATCTCTTTTTTTGCATTTGGACTTATAAACTCTAATATATACCTTCACGTTAAACTAATCAATACTAAATGAGAATTTTATCAGCAAAACTTCCATTATATTTCATGAATTTTGATTGAATATATGAGTCAGGAATTTATTGAACAACATACAATGTATATTTGTATGTAAATACAGAATATCTATTATATTGACCTTGGCCACGTCTGCATCTTCAGTGAACTGCAGAAATTAACATCAACAATATTTACATTGAATTCTTTGAAATTTGATGGATTGCAGAAACCAAATTTTGACAGAGATGTCAGAGATACATATACCAGAGATGAGTGCATGAAAAAAAAACATTTGATTAGCTTTCGTCTAACAATTAAGGTCAATTAAGAATACTTTTGAGCAATAGATGTTTAATTTATCACTGCACACAATCTCTTGATGAAATGCATTGTGTTCAAATAAGACTTTCATAAGATCAGAAATGTGGAAAAATTACTTGCTAACCACATGAGTGAAAAAAAATTGTGTGAAGTACTTATCGGGTAACACACTGGCATTGCTGTATATGTATATGTAATTTTCTCAAATCAAGCAATACAGTAATTGAAATATTTAATATCAGGCCAAGACCGATACTACATGTCATATTGAGATAGTTTCAACCAAATTCAGTAAAACTCACTCCAAAATTTCTAAATACTATATATCATTTGATTGTTTAAACATGTAGTTATACAAAACCTTCTTTCTGCTGAATCTGACATCTGATAATATAATTTCATGACAGATGTGAGCACACTTTGGTGAATGCAGCTGGTGAGGCACAAGCCTTGACCTCAGCTGCACGGGCATTTTTGGATGCAGAACTTGCCAATCGGGAAATGAAGTGTCCAAGCTTTGAAGAACATCTCACAGCAGCAATAAACTGTTTCAGTCATGCTATTAGAGTAAGATAATAAAGCTTCTTATTTTACACCAGGATGTTAAACTGATAAAAATATTCACCTTTTTACTTTTGGCAGAAATGGCAACAGCTTTGGGATGAAGTTTTCTTATACATATATTAGTAGTTACATGTTATTTTCCATGCTTTGTTGTCATACTTGGATCAATGATGATTAATGTTCTTACTGTAATTCAGATGTAGACTTATGAATAATGGCATTTCTGTTTTTGACTATAAATTCCGATAGGTTTTTTCTAATTAATTTTAGAATATTTTGATGACTTGTGTCCTGTTTTTGAAATATACTGAAGTGTACTATGTTATGAATTCCAGGTTTACATTGAAAACAATCATATCTCATTGGCTGCAGCTCTCTCAATAGAACTTGGAAATGCTTTGAAGGTACATGATTATGTTAATGTGTTGCTGTGTTTATTTTTATCCAACTAAAACTATAAACCTTATACATTTTATAAGAACTGAAATCAGTTATATTACCTGGTATTAATTACCCTCTTTTGCTCAAATGGAAGACTTAAAAGGATCTTACTGTTATAGGAAACCCACACAATGAAAAGTCAATGCATAAATACTACACCACTCAACCAGTCTCAGAGTGTCTAGGTATATTTCAGTATTTACGGAAATGAAATGTTTTGAGAAGATACAGTTACCTGTTATGTCATCTGTGTCATTTATTTACTGCATGTTTCAGACATGATATTCATAATTTGTGGGTCCCATAGAATTGTCAGTTCAATAAGGCATTTAAGAAGATAACTGACCTCAAGTTACAAAATAAACAGAAACCTTCAGACTCATGCTTAGATAAGGCAGATGATTTTGACTTGGACAATGTAAATATGATACTATACATGTGTTGTAAAATTATGGCATGGTTAAAATGCAGAACAGGCTGCTTACAAGATTTTGTTCCTATGATTATTGTTGACTGAACCAAGCATGTTTCTTGTTCTCTTGGGACAGAGTCTAAACAAACCTGGTGAAGCAATGTCCCACTTCCAGAGGGCAGCAGAACTTCAGTCTCAGGTAACAAAAATATAAATATTGCTCTAAAAATTGATTAGGTTTGGAATAAAGTCACTTCAATTAATTCTTATAGTGTAATAACAATGAAAGATTCAGTACAAATATAACTACAGAACAAAAACATCCACAGCTTAAACATATAAGTAGGTAACATCAAGAGGTCAAAACAATTGTTGTAGCTTCAAGTAAATAATTTTATAATAAGTGTCACGTAAGAGAAATTTTTCAGAAATAAACCATATTTGATCTATAATTTGGCAATTAAAACATTTGTAGTGAATAAAATTACGTTTTGTTGAACATATTTCACAATACTGTATAATGAAAATAGAACAATGCTATGTGCTTTTTGTAGAGTCCACTGGAATGTTTACACTCTCTTGGGTCGGTTGCCTCCTGTAAAGTGGAAATGAGTAAGTGAATGCTACTATGCCACTTTCCATTTACTTTGACCAGTCAAACGACTGGATATTATTACACTTATTACACATCAAACATATTTTTAACCCACCATCAACAGATGGTGAGCTTTTCAAATTTTGGGACTGATAAGAAAAACATAATGGCTTACAGCCGGACATCTTAGATTTTGTGTTTGAAAGTTTGTTATTGCTATTTCTTGAGAAAACTGCACAGATCTTTCTCAAATTTCATGTATAGATTTCTTCAAGTCCCTAGTCGTGCCTGTTTGATGTTCAGACTAATCAGAAGAAACAAAATGGCTTCCAGGCAGCCGTTTTGGATTTTGCAGTTAAAGATTATCATCACTATTTCTTCCGATGTTCAAATGTCTTATCATTCAGAGCAAAAACAGAAAAGAGAAGAGAAAAGAAAGGAAAAAATCCAACTTTCAAAGGGCATATAAAGATCAAACAATTGTGGGCGCAAAGATCTCTCGGGGATTGCTTGTTCATATTGGGATAGTGCCACACTCAAAACACATGATGTCTCAGTTTGAGGGTTTGTCTGACAAAGCTTTTTTTATTTCACCTACTTTATACATGTTTCCTGTTGCTTACAGAGGATTATGATGGTGCTCTTGGGGTTTTGACAGAAATGGCGTATCTTGCCCAGGAAAGGGGTGGTAGGTTTTCATGTTTTTACTTTAGCTTTTGTCTACATTTCATGTCCATCATATTGTTTTCTTATACACATGCTAACATATCATATTGTATAACTTGTTTTGTAATTATATTAATGTGATCAAACAATCTTTAATATTCTAATCCTTTTCCTCTAATACTTGTTCTGAATGATCATCTACATATCATTATAAACATGTAGTAAAGTGTTGTAATTTGACAGGGTCCTCTACCACTGGGAAACCTATAGGAGCATACTGTGACATCCTAGCTCGTTGTGAGATTACAAGAGTGCTCTTACTCATGTTATTACAAGTAGGTCAAGTCTTGTCTTCAAATTTATTGAATACAATGATAAAGAGACTACTTTCTGTAAAATATATAATCTGTAAAATGTGCTTCTGGCCATTCAGTAGTCTGGTTAAAATATGAATTCTGTGTTTACAACTTCTGGTGTTAATAGTAATCTGGATGGTTATGAATTACCTATAGGAGTATCTATATATTTTTGCACAGCCTACCCCACAAAGGATCAGACCAGAACATGCACAGACACTGGAAAAGTATGCCTGGGAGTCCTCTGATGACCATGCCACTGGTGAGTATCCATTAGACCTGTACATACCTCCCTCCATCACTGTCCTCTTCTAATCGTACATTCTATTGCATATTTATTATGCAGCAATTATTAATGTTGGCCAAATCAGTCACATGTATACTTTTTGTAGCTGTATAATTTGTAACAAATTAAATTACATTAAGTCTTCAATTCAAATATGTAAAGTAAATTATTTGCTGATGTTGTCACTATTTCAGCCCAGTTTCTGTCAGAAGATCTATTTTTGATGATGCAGTCAGTTGTGGTATGTATAAGCTTCACAGTACTGTAATGATATTATTGCCAAGAGAATTTTCATGAAGATGTATTCTTAGATTCTTAAATTCTCCACGATTTTTCAGTTTCAGACAGGTTAGGTCCAGTTGAAAATGGCATTGTTGCATATATATCCTATATAGCAAACAACTGATTTGATTTGTTCTACCTGAAGATACACAAAACTTTAACCTGGTCAAAATTGTTACTTGTACAGTAACCTTTACAGTGTATTATCCATGTCTGATATTTCCAAGCACTTAACAAGGATTAGATGCACAAGTGAATTTCGCTCACAAATGTAAGCAACTAGTTGCTAAACATTATGTTATTCTGATGTCTAAGGATCTCTCTGTTCTAATGTCGGCATCTTCATCTCACCTGGTTTTGTCAGGTCAAGCTGATATTGGCCATAGTATGACCTGCTCAAATTGTAAAAAAATACCAAATTTGACCAGATATTTCTTCAGTTTTTATAAGTATTCATAGGTTACAAATTCAGACTTTGGATAAAATATAGTCAAAATACTGTTCAAACATAATATAGAACATCATCTAAATATATACAGATGTGATCACTATACAATATAATTAATCATAAGGTCTCATTACCTGATGATCCATTAAAACAACCTGTCACCTTTGATTTTGAAGGCCATGACCAGATATTATTTGACAATATCCCTGAAATGTATCTGGTTTGTGTTAAGTGCTTCTACCTGCATGTGAATCTTAATTTTGAATGACTATACATAGATCATGGGGATTAAGTACTGAATATCTTTTTATGTGTTATCTTGCAGATGGCTTGTCAGTCTCAAGACTTTACTTCTCTCCGTACTCTACAGACAGAGTTGTGGCCCTTACTGACTGGAGAGCAAAATGAACTATTATTTCAGATCATTAAAGAAATGTCACATCCATCTGGGGAAGGTGTGTGAACAATTGGATTGTGTGATTGGCTATCATAGTGTGATATATTGGTTCATTTTCAAACAGGAACATTTTATTTCAAATTATTTTCATGAAAACTTCAAAATCATTCCAAATGAGAATGGCAAAGAGAACCAGAAAGAAAAGTTTTAAAGGGAACATACTCCACTGAACATTTCCCTTAACCAAAGATACTGCGTCCATATCAAGTTATCTCCCCTGAAACACATGGTGCCAGGATTTCTTTTTGAGCTACATCATGTTATAATCAGCCATTCCTTTTCTTCTGATACAATAAATCAATGGGAAGCCACTTTCATCTTGAATGTCTTAATTGAAAAGACATCACCAATCACCATTGAAAATAATGACATACATACATGTTTAGATGTGCTATTTCTAATAATGGAACAGGTTTTGTTTATCAAATATTCTTTGCTTGATGATGTTTTAAATTATTTATTGACTCAAAGTGCTGTGTTACTGTAAATATATGTATGTCTAAGTAAATCTAGAGCAAAATTATACTTCTAAACATCCATAAGGATATGTGTGTGTACTAGTTGTTAAGTCATGTGACGTACTGTTTGCTGACCATTATCAAATGTTAAACAGATAAATGTAGAGTAATGCACAGTTTAATTAGTGCTTTTTAGATGTAACAAATTATTACACCATTTTTTTTTTCAAATTTACCAATGTAATTCAAATTATCACTTCACTAATTGGCAAATGGATCAAAATCTCGCTCTGTAGGAGGCCACTACTACTAAGTGATTATGTATTGTGGGCATTGTGCAATACCTGTTGGAAATCTGGAAGGGTCTTGGTCTGTTAATGTATTTAAATGTTCAACACAAGGCCATACACATGAAGATGATTGTAAGAACTGATTATGTGAAGATAATTTTGAATAAAAGTCATTTGTATTCTTTAACACCGCTGTATTGTCATTTTAAAAGCATAGATCAAAATACCTGTATAAGAACTGTTTTGAACTTTGGCCTGTAGTGTAATAGGGAAAGCAGTCTAATTTAATACATTTTCTTTCTTTCCAAAATTTTGACTGTAGATTGAGGTCAAACTTATTAAAATGTATAATTTGCCATATATTTGGAAAAAGAACAAGGTTCTCTGGTATTAGTTTTATCTGGTAGCTTCTATATAGACATTACTTGGAGCATGTTAGTGGAAAGGATTGTATTAAAGACACACCGGAGATTAATATCTTACAATACCATTTTAAAATTACAGTAGAGGCCAAATAATAGATTAAACAGCATCATACAAGTATTTCACCCTTTGAGGACTGGTCAATGTTGCTGAGGACCTGTTGTTTTGTCACCTTGAAGGTAACCGAGGGAAATGGGCATTGGTTGAGAATGAATATCAAGATCTAAATGGGAATGTCCACTAGTCCAATGAATTGATCAATATCGGATGTTTTCAAGAGAACGTCAATTACATCTCTGTATAAATTAATACAGGTTATGACAAACCTCGGGGACTAAATTCCACCGCCAGTGTTTACCACCTGCAATCTGGAAGGGTTGTACTTAAGAGGCATTTAACTCCAATGTAGTATGATTTCATCAAAGGGTTAGTCCTGAGGTGGAAATGTCTACGTCAGTTGTGATAAGGTCACGCTCATTAATACTTTTCATTGAAACGGAATTTTAAATTACTATCGACTCCATTATTTACATTTTAGTTTTAAATGCATGCTTTAATTTCTGTTTTGTTATTTCAGACCATCACTGAAATGTTTCACGAGATAATGTATTAACTGGTGATATATAAAGCAAGGGTTGAGCACAACAACACTCAACATCGTGATTTGGGTGTTAGAAAGTAGGACACTGATATATCTTTCCAATACGAATGGTACATCTAAACACGGATATGCCCAACTTAAAAAAAACATCCGCGATCAATTAAAGGATTTCCTTTTTGTTGGTAACAAAACTATTTTTGCACAAGGTACAAGGTGACTTGTTGTGCAAGATTGTATCGATCGGCGATCGTATCCCCCAAATGAGTCCTCATATCACACGTTTCCTAGTAACGTAGATTAAGGAGTTATATATCTAGATCCCTTGGGGCCCACTACATGTATTCAAATACCCACACCTAGTATTTTTATTACATAAGCAGTTACGTATACGACAGTCGTTGTCTTACAGCACGCTGAAACCCTGGTACTAGTGATAACACTACTCCATCTTACAGACTAGATTATCTAGTGTGTACATCGCCTAAGTATTTACTAAATAATCCCTATATGTACACAGGGTTCCGAAGTGAAATTCGAGTTTTGCGGAATTACAGATCGAAATGCGTGGTATACATGTAGAAGCATATTAAATGATTTCATTTATTCTTGACATATTTAATAACATGGCGGTTTTCGCCGACATATCTGATATTCTGATAAATTTAATGTTGGTAATTCCACGGAATGTTGGAACGTTGCATCGTGTATAGAAGGAATCCAGTAAGCTTATCACAAAGTGTTTATGTCTTTTATAATTTCAATTTTAACAGTTTAATGTCTTTGTTATCACATTTTTACTCCACACGCCCAATAAACCAAAACATATGTTTGAAATATTTGGCTATAAAAGATGTTTATGCAACTCAAACGTTTTATTTAGACATCTTTTTGCCCAAATTTTAAGATACGTGTAGATACCATAGCAATCTTCGAACAAGCCAATGGTATTTGCGTTTATCAGTATACTGAACATTAAATAAACAGTACTTTTTAATCGTATGCTGGAATTTATGACTAACAGATAATATCGTGATGTTTTTTCATTGTTTAACCTTGGTTTAAGAGAAACAGGATTAAGAACACAACGATATCAAACATGACACTTTATGTAGTAGACTTAACGAATTCCGAACATCCCCTTAAAACAAATGGTGTTTCATTATTTTGTCTACATGATGAAGGTGACGACACTTAAAAAATCACGGAAATATCCCATGTAACTGTGGCAGTGAAAGGCTGTTTGCTATGACGTTGCATTTTTGAATACGATTTATGTATTTGTATTAAAATGCACTTGCCAACTCATGGAATGATTACTACTTATGTGTGTCAGAGCGAACGAAAGATCCATTATCATGAAAAATAGAAATTCGTTTTAATATATATATCTACTACCATTAATCTGTATGCTTTTAATTCACTGGAATAGTGACACGCTTCATAGCATACATATGTAATTAGTGTCCTTTTAAAACTATCCGATATTCGAAAATTATGAAGTTGTTCGAAATATGAGGCTTGTGCACATCTCCATCTAGATTTCGATCATTTTGGATTTTTCTCAGTTGCCTGTAGGTTTTAACCGAAGGGCTTAGGCATCACTGCCGAATCAGTTGTTTTGTGTGTATAAATGCATAATTTGGCGCTACCGTGCCCAATTTCAAACGAGTGAAAGGTATTTTCTCTCGTGTCTGGTTTTTACACATTTATTCATCTGTTCATTAAATTGTGTGCGATGCAAGTACATGTATTCAATTCACGTACATGGCGTCGTCATGGTGGAGGAGGGTTATCTTAAATAGAAATTACGTTACATACAACAAAAACCCATTATATAGCTTTCGCATTTATTTTATGTTTTTAAAGGGTTATAAATGATTACATATGGTTCAAAGGTGTTACATAAAAACATACATTTCCCTGAACGTGAAAGATGTACGAATGGTTTTTGATGCAAGTACAGTACACGAACACTTCCTTACAGATCACATTAAACGCTTTACCACAAAACATTGACACCTACATACATTTAACTGCGTTCAGTTGTAAACATCAATACAAAACATAGTGTGAAAGAGGCTCTTTCGCGAGTTTCGCTGTGCTTATGGAGCAAGACTCAATCGTAATTCACTAATGCAAGCTCCCATGATGGTCTTTTTGGTTTGATATCCGGGTAGCAAATGATCTGGATTGCCAAATTAACCGGTTTATTGGAGTCAATATTGGAGAATAGGTGAACAAGATACCGCGCATACGACATATTTAGTTAAGTACAATGAGACAAGTTGTTCGCTTATATATTAATTCAAATATTTTATCGTCCGATTCAATATATATACGGAACTGACTGTAAATAATCTGCCTGTATCGCCAAATGTCAATGTAGATAGATCTAGATCCATAAAACAAGTCAGTAATTAGACTTAGCCTATCTACATGTTCTTTCACACAGAACAATACGGTATAGCATTAAGATGTAGTCATTCCGAGTTTTTCGTCCTAGAAAAACAATTTCAGAATTTTAAGGAGTAGAAGGTTTCTTAACGTCCACCTTTATTTTGTAGATTGATTCAAAGAACTTGTCAGTTAAGGATGTAGGCAGGTACATGAGGACATTCGCTCGAAGGTTGGACATGAAGTTAGGTACATAGCGCACGCGCGGCTCCTTGGTAGTGACTGCCTCTACCATCTGATCCACCACCTCCTCGACATTGCTGCGTGCACGTTTCATTTGACCCTCAATACTCTTTAGAAAGGCGTCAAAATACTCCTCTCCATACACGTCCTTCACCTCTGTAGGCGTTTCCGCCCACGACTTCCGGTTAGTGTCAATAAGGTAGTCCGTGGCGGCTATAGGTGTCCTGTAGAGCAGAAATAAATTCAAACGTCTTTTTTATCGTTTATATTTTTATAAACATACAGGTAAATTTAATATTTAACCAACGTAAAACATATATACATTTCAAGAGTGAGTTACCGGGTAGTCTCTTGTGTAAATAAAATCCACTGATATTTTGGCTAGCTCAGAACATAGGTTTAAACGATTGCTTTCGTGTGCTGACTAGGTTTGTCGATATGTTGCTATTGGATACAGGAAAAAAACTATCCCCAAAATCCATATTTCAATTGGGTAAAACATTTTTTAAACAAACGAAAACATTAGTGTCATAAATGACTACTACAGTTAATTCAACTTCTAACACTGAAATGGTAATACTTATAGCTAGCACTTCCGCACATGAATAAATGGAGTAAAAACTGCAATTATGTTTATGGTAAGGATAACGTAGAAGAAACAAGTCTTACTTGTACAAGCCCGGTTCCACAGTGATCACTTTGATTTCAAATTTGTGCATTTCTTGGCGTAGTCCATCCGAAAATGCTATACATGCCTTCTTAGACATCGAGTAAGCAGCAAACGATGGCACCGTGAACCGACCTGTAAACATACAGCACACATTAACCGTGAACCAACCTTTAAACACATAGCACGTGTTAGCCGTGAACCAACCTTTAAACACAAAGCACGTGTCGACCGTGAACCGACCGGTTAATACACAGCACACGTTAAACCGTGAACGACCTGTAAATACACAGCACACGTTAAACCGTGAACGACCTGTAAATACACAGCACACGTTAACTGTTAATTGACCTGTAAATACACAGCACACATTAACTGTTAATTGACCTGTAAATACACAGCACACGTTAACTGTTAATTGACCTGTAAATACACAGCACACATTAACTGTTAATTGACCTGTAAATACACAGCACACATTAACTGTTAATTGACCTGTAAATACACAGCACACGTTAAACCGTGAACGACCTGTAAATACACAGCACACATTAACTGTTAATTGACCTGTAAATACACAGCACACGTTAACTGTTAATTGACCTGTAAATACACAGCACACATTAACTGTTAATTGACCTGTAAATACACAGCACACATTAACTGTTAATTGACCTGTAAATACACAGCACACGTTAAACCGTGAACGACCTGTAAATACACAGCACACGTTAACTGTTAATTGACCTGTAAATACACAGCACACATTAACTGTTAATTGACCTGTAAATACACAGCACACATTAACTGTTAATTGACCTGTAAATACACAGCACACGTTAACTGTTAATTGACCTGTAAATACACAGCACACGTTAACTGTTAATTGACCTGTAAATACACAGCACACATTAACTGTTAATTGACCTGTAAATACACAGCACACATTAACTGTTAATTGACCTGTAAATACACAGCACACGTTAACTGTTAATTGACCTGTAAATACACAGCACACGTTAACTGTTAATTGACCTGTAAATACACAGCACACATTAACTGTTAATTGACCTGTAAATACACAGCACACGTTAACTGTTAATTGACCTGTAAATACACAGCACACATTAACTGTTAATTGACCTGTAAACACACAGCACACATTAACTGTTAATTGACCTGTAAATACACAGCACACATTAACCATGAACAGAACCGACCTGTAAACACACGTTAACCGTTAACCGACCTGTAAATACACAGCACACATTAACTGTTAATTGACCTGTAAACACACAGCACACATTAACTGTTAATTGACCTGTAAATACACAGCACACATTAACTGTTAATTGACCTGTAAATACACAGCACACGTTAACTGTTAATTGACCTGTAAACACACAGCACACATTAACTGTTAATTGACCTGTAAATACACAGCACACGTTAAACCGTGAACGACCTGTAAACACACAGCACACATTAACTGTTAATTGACCTGTAAATACACAGCACACGTTAACTGTTAATTGACCTGTAAATACACAGCACACATTAACTGTTAATTGACCTGTAAATACACAGCACACATTAACTGTTAATTGACCTGTAAATACACAGCACACATTAACTGTTAATTGACCTGTAAATACACAGCACACATTAACTGTTAATTGACCTGTAAATACACAGCACACGTTAAACCGTGAACGACCTGTAAATACACAGCACACGTTAACTGTTAATTGACCTGTAAATACACAGCACACATTAACTGTTAATTGACCTGTAAATACACAGCACACATTAACTGTTAATTGACCTGTAAATACACAGCACACGTTAAACCGTGAACGACCGGTTAATACACAGCACACGTTAAACCGTGAACGACCGGTTAATACACAGCACACATTAACCATGAACAGAACCGACCTGTAAACACACGTTAACCGTTAACCGACCTGTAAACACACAGCACACGCTAACTGTTAACCGATCTTTAAACTCACATTATACGCTAACTATGAACCGACTTGTAAACACACAGCACCCGCTAACCGTTAACCGATCTTTAAACACACAGCACACGCTAAGCGTTAACCGATCTTTAAACACACACCACACGTTTCACTATGCACCGACCCGTAAACAAATATTGAATGAATCGTTCTGTCAGCAAGTTCCGTGATGAATTGTTAACAAATTAATATAATGTCATGAAACAACGTAGAAATGGACTTGAAAGGAGTACGCTTTTAAAAAAGTAAATATCATGTACGCTAAACAACGATCACTAGGAATATTAAGTATGCTACACAACGAGCATAAGGGATATTAAGTATGCTAGACAACGATCACAAGGAATATTAAGTATGCTAGACAACGATCACAAGGAATATTAAGTATGCTAAAGGTAATATATCATGCACGCTAGACAATGTGCATGAAAGAACACATTCAGTATGCTAGACAATGAGCATTAAGGAATAAATCATGTACGCTAAACAATGAACATAGCCCGTTTACACTTAAGACTATACTTACAATGAGTACAAAGCAGCCTATAAGACTCACTTGACACTGTATTTAATAGGACTATACAGTTTATACTTGGAAGTAAACTATCAAAGATCAACAGAGATCCATTAAACTCACTTGACAATGGACTAACAAGGACCATCCCACTACATTTGATCTAACCTTACAAATACCAAAACGGAACCCATAAGACTCATGTTATCATGGTGTTAATTCTAGCTGCAATAAACCGCTCGGCTACAAAGAACTTCTCTTTTACTCAATCGGTTGAATGTCACACTAGTAAACCAGAGGTCGCGAGTTCGAACGCTAAAGATGGTCATGAAATAAAAATAACCTCTTTTAAATTTGCGCTCCTGCTAGAACTCGGACATGGCGATTAGCATTGTACAAACGACATCGCTGTAACCCCTGAAAACTCGAGAACATATTCTTTCCTGGAAGGGGTTGGGGTAGGTAACCATGGTAAATACTTGTCGCAGTAAACCGCTCTGTTACAGATTACTTCCCTTAAGGTCGATCGTCAGACTAGTAAACCTGAAGTCCCTGGTTCGAATCCTAGCGGTGGCATTGAAACGAAAATTAACTTCTGTTATACTTACTTGACGCAAGACTTTTAAGGAACATTTCTTGTAAACTTCTTACTAAACATACACTGACCTCCAGGATCTCATTAAGCCTGCTTGACAATAAACTTATAAAGAAACCCCCATATACTCGCAAAATTGGCACAGAAAAGACTAGAACTGCGTGATCCTAACATGGTTTCTTGACATTGAGCTTATACCCTGTATCTTTGGTGGTATTTGACGTTGGATTGTTTGAGCATGGTTTATTGAGTTATAAATGGAAGTAAACGAATTCCTCATTTAAAAATATCTCAATGTTACATGAAAAATTACACATGACATTGCCATATTACCGACGTGACACTATTGATCAATGTACCTGCTAGGCTGGCCACGTTGACAACTCGTCCTTTGGACGCCCTTATGAGCGGTAGGAAGGCCTTCGTTACCCTGACAACACCAATCACGTTCACGTCCATGATCTGTTGAAACTGAATAACCGAGCACCATTCAATCTCCTGGAACACGGCGATACCGGCGTTGTTTACACAAGCCCATAGTGCTGTAAAACACACCGAAACACGTTAATCAGAACAGGATATACACACACTACTGTTTACTCGAATGCTTTGAGGGCAAACAATGATTCAACGGAGATCAATAGAATAAATACATTTGTAGCAATTGAACCAATATTTTTTTTCTGATTTGATTCGGATTTGATATGTATGTAACTTGAACTCGGTTATAAATCTGTACAAACAACAGACATGATGTCAGCTATATGCAGTTTTCGGTCGATATTATAAAAGTCATTCATTATGGGATGATAACTTAAGTCCAATGTCCTGCTGTTACTTTTTCATAAACCAAAAACTGAAGATATTTTTTCGTTTAAAATCATCTCAAACTCTCAAATAGTTCTTTAATTATTTTCGGCTACAATCAATGTGTGTTTTCTTTTGTTTTCCTTTTTAAAAGAATGACACAGATGCTGTAGTTACTCACTGTTTTCGCCAAGATTCTGTTTGACGAACATTACAGCAGCTCTTACATGCTGATCATCTGTGACGTCGAGTTCAACCAACTTAATTCTTCCAGATGAATCTTCCTCGAGCTGTTTAGCCCCCTGACGGTCCGGAGCTAAACATCCGGCAAAGACCATGAACCCGAGCTTGTCCAAGCGTCTGGCCAGGCTGTTTCCGAACCCACTGTCGCATCCTGGAAAACATCATTATCTGGTATCAATAATAATTTGTTTTATGATCGGTTTAATTTGTTTGAAATGTAAAGTTACTTAAAGATCTGACTTTAAATAATTTAGTCTGTCAGTGTATCAGTTTTCAATGAGAAATCAATACCTGTCTGGATTGTTTCTTTATACAAAAATTCAAGACTAAAAGTGAATTCTCTTCCAAAATACGTCGCTCTATTTGTGAGTTAAGCATCGAAAGCAATTTTTGATGTTGGTCAGTTGAAGACCATTTTCATTTCTCCGTGTGTATGTAGTATCAATTCCAAGCATATCGTTGGAATTTCAGGTATCAAATGACGTTTTAAAACATGTTTTCATCTATCACTTGATAGGTGTTGGACAGGTAACGAGGCTGTGAATTGATAGGTAACGAGGTTGTGAATTGATAGGTAACGAGGTTGTGATTTTAAACCAGTTGATGTATCTACCCTCTCTCACCAATAGATCGATTCTATCAGATTTAATTATGATAGATCACCTCACTTTAGTAAAATTTATAAATATATAATGATGTGCCGTTGTAGTATACAAACTGGACGTCTTAGACGCAGATGTCTTTAGATGCAGATGTCTTTAGATTTCTCGATTTGGGTTGTTTTACAACTTTTACAACTTTTGCAACTGTACAACTCTCAGTAATATAGGTATTCGGCGAACACGTGACATTCTCACAATACCATTTTCTTTTTTCACGATCGAATTAAACTCAAAAGCGAAAAATTCTCATCTGTGAAATTGTCATTTTATTCTTTAGGTAAGCTGCTTTGAACAAAACTTTATACCCACAATTGTTCTGCATTCATTCATTGAAATGAATAGATAATTGAACATCTGAGAAAATGGTGATGGAAGTTCTATTGCTGACAAGTTGACATTAAGCCTTGTTAGCTTGTCAACAATAGCCACGCGTATTATAGGAAAATATTTATAATGACCGTTGTAATGGACTTTTTAAAATTCTTATCATCATTATAGACTCGTTCGCGTAGTGATATGACGTTATGAATGAAGAAATCTCGCGTAACGTCACCGTATCACACGCTATGTTTCAATTTCGAATGATTTAAATGCCTCCGCAAAATGAGTTCCATTTGTCATTCTTTGTCAAACTTTTGAGTTTTTTTTTTAATTTACAAAATCTCAATAAAATAATCGTTTTGTATTTATCAAATGATACATGACTATATGTAAGACACTTTCTAAAACGTTATTTTTTTCCTGTGGTATCAGGTTCCCAGATAGTAGGTTTTAGGGCGGCTAACTGAATGTTGGAATCATTGAAATGAAGAAAAATGTTTATTGAAGAAAAAATGTAAATATAAGGATTAAACTCACCTTAAATAATGCGATTTGCTAAAACATCCATTGCTGAATACAAGTGTAGCTCTGCAGTTAGTCTCGCTACATATAAAATTTAGGTGCAGTAGAGCTTGGTTCAGCTGAGGGTTTAGCATCAATATAGTACCTGATACATGCCTACAATACACGTACCTTGCAAAATGATATCTTTGAGTTTGTGTTTGTTAAACAAAGTGGATGGCCAGATGTTTAACTGTATTGTCTATCTACGTGCTGAAACATGGATCATATTACCGATGTCTACAGACTGTGACTGATAATCGGTAACGTAAATGTAACGAAAAAACATCCGTGGTCAGTAATTGCACGTTAATATCATGTTCACGGACATTTATCGCGTGCTTATGGTGATATTTAGTTCAGTTATCTGCTGGTTGTTGACCCAGTTGTCTGTAACAATATACATATTCACCTGTATTCAATTTCACTGTTTTATTGATGTAAATCAATAACCAGGCATATCAACCCACGACACACTAAGATGAGAGGACGAACAGAGTGTTTTAATTATGTCAGACAACCTGCCGCTCGCAGAATGATTTCCCCAAAGTATAACCAGATCTCGTTAGTCCCCATTCGCTTGTTGAGGTTTATTTGTTGTAAATGTACGATGTCAGAATTTCATCAGCTTGATTTCCCACTTTGTAAAGTGTTTAACCTGTAGAACGATGTAAATTTTCGGTCACGTTTTCTGGAAGGTTTGAACGCCACGGCCGTTGATATACATATTTCTCCCACAGTTTCAAAGACTTAAAAGTCACAGCGTTGACTCTGAATTTCTAAGAATAAAAATGAAAAGAGGTTCAACTGTTTCTGCTGTGCACACAAACTTTATGGAAGTATGCCGTTCCATGTACGTTCTTTGTATGGCCATGGGTGCAATTGCGTGGTTGAACTGAATTGCGGACACATAACTTAAATATATTCTAGCGGGTGTAATCTACACTGCGATATCATGAAAGCCTTGTAGGTATAGGTCCCATATGTTCAGGAATGTGGGTCAATTACGCCGTGCCGATAAAATAACGAATGTTGGAGCCCCGATCGCAGCTTGACGTGACAATAGAGGACGTCCTCAGATAAGTTTGATCAGGTGACCTATTCCAACGTTTTCTCCATCCAACTATGTTAATGTACGTGAAACCTGGTGTGTATATGGCATGCCATGTATTAGATACATTGTATCAATTGTACGTTAAAGACTTGACCAAAATAAAGACTCGCCATGATGGAATATTTGACTATTTTGAAGGATTCCTATGTCAGTAGTTCTACCTGGTCTTTACTTTCACTATTATATTCCTTTCTGACCTTTTGCGACACAGTTCGACCAGAATGGCGGTGTCGAATCAATGACGTCACTGAAATGGTTACAATAGCATTACCGGAAGTTACGTGACTCGTTTCTTTACTGTACATCTGCAATCGGCTACAGGATGAGGCGGTTTACGTCACTCTTAATGAGTACTAAGGAGGGGGTAATGTATTGCAGGTTAGAAGGTGAATAGTAGACTTTTCAAACGCTTAGAAAAGCCATTACCTTTTATCTATCACAGGGACTATATTGACAGAAATTACAAACAGTTTTATCCTTGATGTACGTAAGTGCATGGTCTTGTGGTTGACCCTCTTCACGCCCGACTTCCCATCGGAACACCCAATCAAGGTACATAAACGTATATAGATGTTGTATGTTTCCGTATAATCATGTTGAAAAAAACATCAAGAAAATACCAACATATCACAAATAACATCAATCAGGGGTGTGTCCGGAACAACCTATCATATTCCTCTACTAGTTATGAGAGGATAACATGTCTTGTATATCGGATACAGACCTTGACACTCTGACTGAAAAATTGGTCGTTCCTCTGGTTTTGGGTGTGGTTCAACTCGTTAGAGAGCATGTAACAGGTATAGCGAGTAAAATCCTAAAGCGTAACCATCATTTTATGATTCATATCTGAAACAGTATTTGTTGACGGGGCAAGAGTACATGTAAACGTGTGTAATCTGTTTCAGGTGTGCTCATTCTCATCCAGACCCTAACGACATGATGGAAAGGTTGATTAAATGGTTGTGTTGTTACCATTCTGTCAACTCGTGGTGATAATTGTAAATGCAAGCGCTACCCAGCTTAGTACCAAAGTACTCCACATATCGGCATGGTGACCAGGAAAGTTATACTTTCTTGTGTACTTCAGTTCGTCAAGTATTGTAGGAAGTAATGACATGTCTTCATCATCGTGTATGTAATTAGGTAACAACATATTAAATAATTTTCTCTTCCTTGTGTCAGTCATCTTGGTCACATGTTCTCCTACATCTGATTGAGGAAGGTGACGCAATGACCTTTAGTCTGATTCTCGCTAAGTGCTGGAGTACTCGCCGCATTCTGATGCCGCTCCGAGTCTCGTGTGATTTCAATTGGTAAATACCGATTTCAATTTATGTGAAAATGAAAATTCAGATATCCCGAAAATCGCTGATTCAACAACAACATAACAAACGTTGTTACTTGACATTCGCAGCCGACCAATAGAACAACCCTTCCCAGTGGGCATTATTTTGTTTTGACGGCGTGTGGTATTTAAGTTTATACTTCGGGTGACAACCGGGTAGTATGAGCGCTGTCAAATCGTCAATTCAATCCAACCGCAATTATTTTAAAGTTATAACTACGTGACCATAAAAGTTCGCCTAGACCGTCCTGACAAATTGGCTTGGTGTCACAAAAGGCGACTTCATATCCTAGGGGTTCGGCGATTCAATCTTGTTTACCTGACTAAGGTACATTGTATTCCAAAGGTTCGTTAGAAGTAAACAAGGATCATAAACAGGTGCGGAGGGGATCGATGGAGGTATGGGTTTAAAACGTTTTACTGGCGCTTGCTGGTATCCTCGTCACTAGAGACATGCATGGCTGATTCCTCCTCAAAACATGTTAAGATATTTCTATGATTAAGTACGAAAGATGCATGCTAAATAAGTTATTTAAAATTCACATTACACTACATTACACTAGAGGCGAATGTCGGTTTAATATATAACGCACACATGTACAGTGTAACTTCAGTGGTGTATATATTTACATACAGATTACAGTCGACAATAAACTTACCTGTAATTACAACAGCTTTTCCAACAGGACTAATACAAAGTCTTGGGCTTTTACTGGTCAGGAGAAACACAGCGGTCAGTCCCAAAACAGCATAAAACACAACAGCATACAGCGGTTCAGATAACACGGAAGCACACAAAACTTGCGGTTGGGTAAAATATATACCAAACCCCAACACTAATGTGACGAGTCCTGCTACACGCTTCATATTAAGTTATCAGTTGTCGCATGTAAATAGTGAGTGCGTATATAAGCACAGGTAATAAACACATACAGGTGTGTCACCCGGTGTCCATTGTCATTTGTATATTAAGAGTAGGTCACCCCTCCGTTCACCGCCCCTATAAATACCTACGGAGATAGGTACTGAGTTCAAAGACACCACAAGCTCTAATGTTTACAAATGTAGCCCAGTCCATTTCACGGTTAGGGGTATCGGGGTTTTATGGCGATCCGCTTGATTCCTACCTGGATAGCAGTTACCTCTAATTATCATGAAACGTTTTACACACGAACAATAGATCTCGAAATGAAATGTATATTGTAATACCGTACCAATCCCCACTATATAAACAAAACTCGTAACATGTCATTCGATGACGGTGCGAAATCCACTGACGAATTGACTATTTGCTGAAATCCATTGAATTGATTTCATATGTACATGTAATAGCACAAATTTAATGTCATGTCGTTAGATCACTGTTTCTTCATCGCTGTGTCAATTACATAATGTATCGAGTTTCTCGAATTCCTCATCCATAGTAGATAATGACGATCGAATGTTAATTGCCAGGAAGTTAATTAAGCTTATTGATACACTTAATTGAGAGGCACAGTGATTCACAACACTTCCATTACCCAGACACTTTCCTATACAGAACGTGCCTCTGGCAATCTGATGCTGCACGTCATGGAGCTCTCAGTTATAAGGCTGTTACTATCCTATAAATGCTTACTACTAAGGCGATATCATCTGGGGAAATCACTTTCGAGATTTGTTTGATCTCGCAAGGTATTTATAGCAATTGAGTCTGTCCGCTGAACAGAGACGTCGAAAGTCATCGCTATGCGCATATTTAATCTGTAATTCTCATCCCAGTATTGTTTTGCTTATTGTGATTGTCAATTGCCACCAATCGAGTTGCCTACAGGTATTGACGTTACGGTTAAATCAATATGCCTACACAGTTTTATGCGTGCTTGGTTTATTAGGCGTTGTATTTATTTACCTTATGGTGCTTGAAAACGGTATACCTGTCTAAATATGTCGTGTGCTTGCCTATATGTGTGTTGAACGCTTTCCTAATAGCGCATCTTCAGTTGTATTTGCTTTCGTGTTGTGAACCTTCTTTTATTGGCGCATCACCTTATTGTTTGCTTTACCTGCTGTAGACGTTCACGTTGGTTCATTATCTGTTGTACATTCGTATGTGTTGTAGGATTTCCTGTTGGTGCACATGTTGTGTGTGCATCCAGGTTATGTAGACGTTCACGTTGGCGCAACAACGGTTGTATTTGCGTATGTATTGTAGAGTGTCCGATTAGGCATTGGGGGACACAAATGTCCTGGTATTTCCTTAGATGTTCTATTTGCTTAAATGTTCTAAATTTTCCTATTGGTGTATCATATGTTGTGTTTGCACACGTGTTATAGACTTTTCTGTTGGCGCTTACATTTAGTAGAATTTATACTTGGCACATTAGATCTTTTATTTGCTCTAACTACGTTCTTTGCATGTTTTAAGATTTTTTTTCTATTTGCTTCATGTTTTGTCCTTTTACGATACAGATGTTCCCACATATTATACACAGTTGTAGTTTCTCTATTAATCGTGCAATCTCTGTATATTTTGCTTATTGCGAACTTGGTTTTAATGACATAGCATTAACCTGATGGTGTATTTTCAAAGTTGACCTACATATGTGTAGGCTTCAGGTTCATGCCAATTTACTTGCAATTGCTCGCGAATTAAAATCAAATGCAATGGTAATGATGCGTGAATGTTTTTCCTGTACACTGTATATGTAAGCCATGTGCTATCGCCTGTATCTAAAGTATATACGAATGTACCAAAAATAAATACAGAATTAAATACGAAAGAACCTAGAATTTCAGTGTCTGACAGCATTTTTAAAAGAGTGGACATGCACGTATGAATAGACACACGTGGACGGACAAATATATTTAATATTAGAATTCTACATAAAAAAATAACCTTATCACAAGCATGGAGTCATAATTAACCATCGTTCCTCAAAATCTTATCCTCTCTCTTATTCAAATTACTAGATTGTATTTTCTGATGTTATGTTGACAGTTAAACATCCTTGTATATGAGATCTCAGTTCACTGATAAATATATTTTTGACAATATTCAAAATGAACACGAAAATATGTAACCAGAGTTAGTACTTGGAAAGTTGTGTGAACCCAGCACACTGGAAAAAAATGGCTTCCTTTTCTCCTGTTTTGTAGCGCATGGCATACTGCCAGTGAAGGGAAGAGGGATTTAAATGTGTTTTATTAGCTGATAAATGTACAAATTGTATTAGCGGCTGTCCGATTATAACTTTACACCAACACGATAAGACCACTCACTTCAAAGTCACTTGTTTAGTTTCTCTCACGTCTTTTACGTTGGACAAGTATCATCATGATTTATATAGGGAACGAACCCTAAAGCATGACAAAAATCTATCCTTATAGAGCGTTATGGTATGGTGTACAAAAGGCTGTCAATACGCCACGAAATCTCTCAGCTAGTTCTGTCCCTAACTATACCAGTACATGTTCGTGTCTTACCAATGCGATCTACTGTACTTCGACAACTTCAAATATTAAACCCTTGGCCAGAAATCTCAATGGATTAATCTCAACCAGACAATCAGAACCTCCATGTAAAAAGCAGATGGTGCCCTTTGTTTTAGACGTACAACCAGACATGACAATAAATCAACGACAGAAGAGGTGCCCCAAGAAGTTACTTGGATAATAATTGAAATGCCACGCGCAAATTACGCGAGTAATGTAAATACCGGCCCAAGTTAGGCTTATATTGAAGATACCACACACAAGCTAGATTAATGACGATAACAAAGTCTACAGACATTTCTTCAAGTAGCAAAAATACCTACTCCTCCCTCACAGTAAATTTGTGTCAAATAAGAACAGTTTATGTGTGCCAGCAATTACTGCATGTAGCCCAGGTTTCAGCTGAGGCGACCTTGGTTATTGGCCTACTGGAAAGCTTCATTGCCGCTGAATGATGACAGCTCCAGGCTTATATTGAGATAGAGCGGTTCTTATACTGCATCTGGAACAACACAACACCAGCATTGTTGATTGCATCGTTAACGAGATAGTTGCCTTAATATTACACAACAGATACAATGAAGCTTTTCACTTCAACTCATAAACATGCGTGGGCAATCATGAATGGATATTTTTCATGTACCAAATTTATTTTATCAAAATGGAATGTACATATCAAAACTGCGGCAACATAGATACAGATCACTGCAATGGAGTAAAAACGATTAGCATGACGTACATGGGTTATTTTTATAGAACTTTCTGCGCAAAGTCACCTCTTTTTATCTTTGTGTAGCTACGTATGCTCAGTATGAAGGTAATTCATGCAAAGAAAGGAGCTGTTCAAAGATGTCTTATCAAATGACTTCAGTTCAAGTCATGTGTGGCCATAACTTTCTAATCCATTTCTGATAGGTTGGGTGCATTCTTTGGTGTTCAATCATCCTATCTCTGAAAAGCAAACGATTAAATAATTTGTATATCTATTCTTATTATAAAAATTGGATCGAGACCAGCGCACGTATCTAGCCGTTGACGTTGGTCTTGTTATGTGCGCATTGGATGTAATACCGAGTATCCAATGAGCGTGTTAGACTTGAAAATAGTTACCAAGAAATCCAAATAAGATGTAATATAGTTCATAGGGCGCGTCGACTGTTTAAATCAGTGTGAGACAAGGACAAGGTAACATAGGTATATACACAAAGCTACTAGTTAGTATGCAGGATCTTCACTTGTCTTGGTTGCTTCCGCCTGTTTCCTCTATCGTCATGCTAACTGTTGTCAGTCTTCTTCCTGTTTTTGACTGTGTCGCAGACAATATGGAATATTGTTGATGCTAGTACTAAGCGAGAAATGGACCTGCTGAGAGTCCCATATTAAGACCACTGAAATAGACATGATCGAGTTATTCACTTGTCATAATGATTACATAAGGAACAACTATATAAATACATAATAGGAGATCAGGTGGATAGAGCAAACCAGAATGTAAAGACTTTACAACAATATCTAAAAACTGTTATGCGCACTGAAGACGCAACTGTCGGAAGTGTTGCACTAAGATTTTCTCTTACATGTCCATGCTGATATACCCTGGAGGGGGTGAGGGTGGGGGCTGTGCACTGTTAAAGAGGCAAAGGCTCTAATGGTTGTCAATGGTCATTATCCATGCGAAGACTTAATGGATCCAACAAACATCAAACACTAAATGTGCGTTTGATGTAATTCCCAAATATCTATATAAATCTTTGTAGCTATGCTATTGCGATTATATTTTGACGTTTTGATTTTGAATGTTACTGATGCTAAAGCAAAATCCCCTTCCACAGTTAAATTTCTGTCGCCCACACTAGGATCATAGCGTTGAAATTACTGAAAGGTTAAGTGTGCTAATAACACACTCATACATAATTGTAACTTCAAATGTGTGACATAACGCCAAATGCCGACTTGGCACCCAAGTAATGTAGAAAACAAAACCCCACACAAGTCACATGAATATGAGATCATCTGTGTCCTTGAGCACCAAAAACAACTAGATAATGACGAACATTAGCGCATGTGTTGTGATATGGTTTATGTGCTTATAGCAAGAGCGTTATCATTTGTTGATAGAGTGAATTCTTTAAACTAAAATTTATATTGCATTTGTAATAAAACAAGTGTAGTTTTTGCATGACGTCTAAAGCATGCCAATTTCAATTCTAAAGTTCATTGCCCAGACACTTCTGTTTACTGTTAGTGTCTTCATGATAAATATTAAGTTATTAAGGTTCGCAGAACATGCTGGGTATATGTATTAGTTTTGTATTCTTTATATTTTGCAGTATTCCCTCTTGTCCTTTGAAACTATGAGTACATGTACTGTATCTGTAGAACAAAATTTATTTTATTGTAATAATACTGTCGTCATCTAGGTAGGACGTAAGAATTGTCCCTGTTGCTCCATGTATGATCGTAAGACGCGACTAACTTTGACCAAGTTTTACGTGTCGGATGTTGTCGATGCAGCAGGCGACGAATACTCTTCCGGAATACCTGGTCATTTTCTCCTTGTACTTTTCTGGAGTCTCGTGTTAATCTTTCTTTGGTTTATATTTTGCCTTGGGTGAAATAAATTTGAGTGTGAGTAATGATTACGTTGACATTTTCTTGTTGTTTTTGGGGACGTAATGCTTTCTCTTCTCACGTCTGGCCTTTAGTAAAAGCATTCGCACTTGTGAGGAAGGCTTTAGGATTTGTCCTCCGGCCAAGGCTTAGCACAACCATTACAAATTATAGTAATTTAACGCTTAACGCTCAGCATATCAATTAGTACGCGCGTTAACAGTACAGTATGACTAGTTGGGTTGTCCCAATGGGTCATTCCAAGGTATATTTCAGTGTG